AGGGACTTCCCGATTTCTGCCACATTTGGCGCCCGGCGAACCAGTACAAGTATGGGCAACCCCCCCGTCCCCCAAAAAACTGGAGACCTGAAGACTTGGAGTCACTGGAGTCGCTGGAGTCGCTGGAGTCACATCTCACACGTCTCACGTTTCTTTTTGTTCCCCGCGCGCCGAGACCCTCAGTCAGCCTCGGAGTCGGAGCCGCAGGTGGCCATCAAGTTGTGCTTCAGCGGGTGGAACTCCACGCAGTTCACCGTGCCCTTGTGCACGGGCAGCGAGTGGATCAGGCCCTGGTCCGAGCCGTTGGAGTTGATGATGGCGTGGGGGTTCCTCGCAACAAGGGAGACGCAAAAACTGCCAGCAAGAAGGAAGGCAAGCCAAAAAAAGAAGAAATGATGGGGGGGGCCGTTGGTAGACAAACATCATTTACATGGTGTTCACGTCCCAACCACTTTGTAGCGTGTTTCGCATGAAGATGCATGGCCACATTTCGACCCACACATTTCCATAACGAATTTGCGCCAAGGGTCCATAAGGACACAATGCCATCCTGCAGTCCGCCCGCTACGATGCCGTAGGGGAAGTTGGTGTCAACTCCGAGCTTTCCCCATGAGATGGTGGAAAACCGCCTGCCGCCTTCTGTTCGGATGGATGCCCGGACGTCCATATCTGCACCAGTCCTGCCAAGGGGCAGTTAACTGCTCTTATTGACGCCTTGTGGACGTTGGTGGGTGCAAGCACGAGCAGGAATACCCTTCGAATGCTTTGCGGAAACAACATGACAAGAGACCACCCCGCAGCAATACAAAGGGCCCTTTTTGCCAAGAGTGGAGTTCCTTTTTTGAAACTGAACATATAGCTTAGCATACATTATATACATATGTGTAAACATATATGGTCATATAAATATATGTGTATTAATATGCTTGGGGCCAGAGCTGTTGAAAGTCATTTCTTGCAAAGGGCAATTGAGCCGTTGTTCTCTGCCACCCCGCAAAACAAGCCATTCCGAATTTGGACACGAAGCTACAACACTTCAAACTTCAACAGTTCAGGTGAAGTACCCCTTGCAGATATCAGCTCACACTGCAAAGCAATGCCAAGTTCTCCTGAGCGATCAATCTGACATGATCAAATTGGGAGCAATGAAAATGCAATGCCAACTTCCATGATTCCAGAACAAGGTTGGTTTCAATACAAACCGCAATGGAGGCTCTCCAACACTGCCACGAAGCGAACATGTCCTAAATCTATGGCAAAAGAAGGATGCCCTGCGCTCTCTCCGTTTGCCTAACACTTAAACATCGTCAAACCCAACCTTGACCTCAACCTCGCCTGTCCAAACAAAAAATGCCCATCACAAATCATCATGCTTGCCATGAGTTACAAGTTGGGACCAAAGGGTCACGTACAGTTGCAAACAAACACTTAACATCTTCGCTGCGGGGGAGAACCAACAAAAAGAACAAGCCTATCCACTGTTTCATTGTCGTTGCCTTGCGGCACAGAGAGCACTGACACAAAAAACAATATTTGTATTTGTTTCAACCCTCCCCCCCCCAAAAAAAAAAGTCTTTCTGGTCCTGCCGGCATCGAAGGACATAAAGTCCAGGGTGGCATCGGAGCCGGTGCCCCCGAGGGCCCCCGCGGCCGAGTTGGCCGACGCCCCCAGCGCCAGGAGGTTCGGGGCGGCCTCCGCGGCGCACCAGGCGACGGTGGCCGCCCGCTGGGTCTGCTTCAGCGGCAGCTGAGACTGACCTGGGGAAGGGCCCACCGCTTTTTGGCGCTCGCCCCCCCCCCCCAAAAAAAAAAACGGGCTCCGGGAAAAAGGGAAGGAAGCAACCCCGCAACAAATTGTATTAGCCAGGCAGCTCATCGCGCAGGTGTCTGGGCCAAAACTGCGAAATGAGCCAAGATGGCTGCGGAAACATGAGGCATATGGCTGCAGAAGCATGAGGTATGTGTGAATAGGAGCCTGTTCGTCATCAGTACAAAGCCATTATATTTCATTTAGTACCCAGTGACCATGTTCCCGTCTGTCCACGTGGATCCATGTGGGAAGCCTGCTGGCTTGACAACAAATCAGGCAAAGCAAACAAAGGTTTCACAAGAAGGAACAAATCACATTTTGCCCCAATGAGATTTCCACAATTCAGGCCACTTGACCTGCTGCAAGTGTCTTCCGCAAATCCGGGCCAAATCCCAATTTCCTTCCTGAAGCCACCGGCAACAGAAAGATCTTTTTCGAGACATAGCCGGGAAGGTGCTCATCCAAGCGAGTAACAACGACTTGAGCCACTTTTGTCAGATCAATCGTGTGAAGTTCCTATCGCCTATCGAGTTGTTTCCAACCAGGAAAGAGAACAGAAGCTGGATTGTCTCCAAAGTCAGCCGCCAAATGGTAGGAAAACAACCCCGGTCATTGCTACCAGAAGGGAAACCAAAGCAACCGTTGACAAGTTGTCTGCTACCCTTGAGGTTGGCGAGATTTAGCCGCCCTCGTTGTTTGGATGCCTCGGTTTGGCTATGGGGCATAAAGTTATGACCCAACCCCCCATTTACGCCGCCAAGGACAACAGGCCGAGCGTCGCAGGTGCCGATAGCAGCGCCGGACCCAGGGGTCACCTGGCAATCAATTTACGCCCTTTGGGGAGGGGTTCCCACTTCGGTAGGTTTTTCGTTTGGTGTCCCCTTCCTTGCAATATCTAGGCAATCACAGCACGTTCCCCAAGGAGGCACCATTGCCATCTGAACCTCCTGGCAAGCTGCTGGATCTTCAGGGAATGGCGTGGCTTCCCCACTGCGACCCTCGGAACCCTAGCCCGAAAGCATGCAGCAGCAGCAGCAGTAGCAGAAGGAAAATCAGCAGTAACATCATGCTTGCTGCCCCAGAATGAGTCGAATGGCATGCTGCACTTCTTGCTTGCCTGGCCATTGGAAAATAGAACGCGTTGCCGTTGATGGTTTCTTTCACACTGACACCCCAACAAGTGCCTGTCAGGAGCCAGGAGCCAGTAACCCTTAGTGACCTAAACTGACCAGTTGAGCCAGGGTTTGGGTCAACCAAATGGGTGAAAATGCGTCTGCAACATCAAATCGATTCGCACAACTGGAGATGGCGTGCTTTCACGAAGTCTACAATTCCGAAAGCTCGTTCTACAACATGGCGGAGCTCGCCACAAAATAGGCGCATGGTCGTTCTCGGCAAAATTGGTCCGGTGCCCTTCCCATGCCCAGCCTTTGAAGCTTGGCTCTTGGGCCTGGCCCGCACCCGGCCAAGCGAAACCAGCGTCTACACGCATATCAATGCGTATCTTCATGCATGGCTGTGTCGTGTTGCACATGTTATTTTTCCATATGAATATATGTGTATGCAATGATTTTGCCTATACATGCATGTGTGCATTCATGTATGAGTATACGATATACATATGGTTGATTTACGGCAAATATATTGTAGATGATATATATATATGTATAAATATATATATATATATGTATGTATAAATATATATATATATATATATATGTATATATATATATATGTCTGCGTGTATGCGCGTGCGTGTGGGTGTGCGCCTATGAGCGCCCTTGTGCCAAGGTTTGTGTCTGAGCTTTTCAATGTGCATCTCAGATATCCATGCGGTTTTGCGATGCTGTGTGCATGTTCCGCATTTGCATAAAGTTGTTCATTCATTGTATGTGCGGGGCGTACATGATTGAGCTGGTTGAGTGGGCGGTTTGTATATGGCTGGATGTTGGCGATCCGAACAAGAAAACAAAAGCCACCCGTCAAGGATCTCACAATTTAATGAATCGTCCACTCATCGAAGGTGTACCCTGACCGCAAGATTCATCTGCTATGATCGTATAGCCCACAAGGCCTCATCTAGGGAAAGCATCAGAATTGTGGACTTGCTCAATCTGTTCTACTTCGCCCCGGGGGTGCTCTTCGGTGTGGCTAATATAAAAACCAGGCATCAGTTGCCACCTGTGTTGCACTCCGGCCCGACGATTTCGACTTTTGCCCACGCCTCTTGCACCCCATGGCGGCGAGCTTCCATGACAGCACAATGATAAATACCCACAAAGAGGTGACATAGGCGTTGCTTGAGGCCGCTTTGGCAAATAATATTAAATTATCATGCCCATTATGCTGTTGCAACAAGTGCGCGCCAGTGTCATGCAAATCAACTCAAAGCCGTCTGCGGGAGGCTTCCCAAAAAAGTCAGCCGAGTAACAGGCTGTGTTATCCACAAGCGCTGGCTCCTTCGGCGAAGTCCACACTCGAGCCATGGACAGCGCGAGGTTTTATTAACTCCTTAAAGTCGTCTTAAAAAAGCGGGTTCCAACAATTTCGGTGAGCCCGGAAATATTGCCCCAAAAGGGAACTAGAGACGAACCATGGCTCCTCTTCGCTCGATTTGCTTGCATGTTCGTAAGCTTGGCTTACGGACTGAGCCAACCCCATTCAGTGAAAGGGAAGCACCACACCCAAAAATTAAAGGGAAGCTGGCAACAAGGCCTGGCCCCCTCAATGCTCTTCCAGCAAACCCGGGCGTGAAAGGTCGCCCTGTCGGGCCAAGACTGACCATGCAAAAAAACTGCTTGGGTGCGAGTGCCATCTGGAGGATTCTAAATGCTTCCCCTGAAATGGTGGGAAAATCATGGGAAAGTATGGCAGCTGAAAGCTCAAACGTTGGCAAGCCTCCATGCCTTCGGCAGAGGTTGAGGAAATTTGGGTTACTGCAGCCAGCCCAGATTCTACACAGAATTGACAAAAGTCCATGCCCAAAGCCCACGGAAACTGGAAATTGGAGGTGGGGCTATCCTCTTGGCCATCATGTCGAATCCATGCCTCCCCCCTCCACACAAACGCACACACACACACACCAACACAAAGACAAACCCGCAAACACGCAAACACGCAAACACAAACACCGAAACCAAACAGACAGACAAACGCACATGCGTACAGGTAAACTCTCTGAGGCACAAGCACGGCTGAGAGGGACGAGCGCAGAGCTCCAAAGTCCTGCAAGCTGAAGGGCGCAGCACCCGATTCTAAGATGGTGTCCACTAGCCCCAACCCCTCGAACCCCTTACCCCCCCAGTCCCCTAGGTTTGGATATACAACCACTACATTCCACGCATGCACCCTTGTTTTCCCCAGGAGTGGCTTGGGGGTAGTGGAAACAAACTATCTTAAAACGATTTTGCGTGTTGCGCCCGGAGAAGTACTTAGCTGAAATGTAACCTGCCTCATGGGGAACGCACAAACACAAACACAAGCAAAAGCAAGCACACACACACACACACACCAAGAGAGTACATGATGAGAGCATCATCTCTTGAAGCAAACCCGAGGAAGGCTTGACCACACTTGAGATGCCAAAGAAACTACTCACATTTGTCAAACAGCGATGCCCGATTATCCCTGCGGCTGGCAGCCTACACTTGAAATCAACCGCTTACGATCCTCGGGAACAAAACACATGCACAAATTGCTGTTTCATCACACTGGCATCGGGCGTTGCGGGACTGATCTCGGAAGGAGGTCTATTCCAGGTAGACAGGCTCCATGCTGCCCAGGCTTAAGCTAAGCCTCCCTCACAAAAGCAAGCTGCCCGCGTGCAAATGGGCACCTTTGCGCACCGCACCAAGTCTATAGGGAGCATCCCGAGCCCGGCACTCGCGGGTAACACAGGCTGGTGTTTCCGGAGACTCCGCGTATGGCGACTCTTCTCGCCTAACTTTTTTTCGGGTTGCCAGCGCACAACGCGTGACCTTTTCGAACGTTGCTGCAGATACTGAAAGGGTAGCATCTTGAACCGATCGTACCAAACAACATATTTTGCCTGAGCCCGAATCAAACTGGTGCAGCCCGCGGTGAAACTGTGGATGTCCACACGGACACGGCAAAGCAGGGAGCGTAAGCAGCTTCAGGCTGCTCGCTTCTCCATTGCTTTCCGCTTCACTTCTGTCCCGCCTGCTGTTCCTCCAGCCGTCTCTGCTCCTCCTCTTGCGGCGTCAGGTGTCGCTTGGGCCGGGGCTTTTTGCTGATCTGCCCCGTCGGGCTGATGGACACATCCTTGAACTCTGTGTACAGCGCGAATAGCACCAGCAGGCCCACCGCCCGCACACCCCAGACCTCGAAGGCGGGCCGCTCGTAGAATTCTGCGTGCTCGGACTTCTCCACCTGGACCCGTAGAAACAGAGGCGCAAACACGGAGATCGCTGGCTGTTTAAGTCAGACTGATCTGAAATCAGTTTCAGGATCGTGGCGTTAAGAAAGCAAAACTCAACGATATGGCGCACTCAACCCACAACGAAAGGGAACCTTTTCAGGAAAATAGATCAACTCGCAAGTCATTCATTCCCGTGAGCAATGCCGAAGATATCTAACAATTGCTCCACCTTCTGTTCTATACCAAGAGCATCGCTTGCAGCGAATGACAACTTTCCCCGATGGTGTGGGGCTTAAATGTTGACCCCGGGCTGATCAACCTGGTGGATTCTCAAGGGGTCCTAAAAGTGAATCCCCTCCTAAAGAACTGGGACGCCTTTCTCACCGATGAATGCTCATTTCCCCTCGCCTGGGGTACGGCCGGTGCCTCCTTCCACCCCGGGGGGCGCCAGGTCTGCGCCGGCCGCGCGCCCGGCGCGGCGCCGGCGTCCCGCGCCCCGAGGCCCCGAAAGGCCGCGCCCGCCGAAGGTCCCGCGGTGGCGCCGAAGGTGGCGACGCCCCCAGAGGCCCGCGGCAGGTAGCTGCGGGGCAGGTGCTGGGCCATTTTCCTGCCGGAAACACATCGAATCAACAGGAAATGGATCACTTTTGTTTTCGTCACTCCCTTGAAGTAAAACGTCAATCCGAGAACAACATGCAGAACTGCAAGTAATTGCGGAAATCTTGAGGGCAAACTGACGCTCACCGATGCTTGCAACACAGAGACGTGCATAGGCGCGGGTCGAAACACAAAACACATTCTTTCGGGGGGGAGCAGATCCGACAGTGATGGGACGGCGAGGTTAACAGTAGATGTCACACCCTGCCTTTGTCAAAAAGAAGCTAGCAATTTGGATGAACCTGATCCAATCTGATCCTCGTGGACGGAAGACCGCCTTTGACGCGACACAGGGCCAAACCGTTAAATACAAAGACATCCCAAGCCTTGGAGCAGAGCATTCCAAGTGGCTAAGTCGGCTAAGTGTTGGCTTTCCTTGCGGTTGTATGCTGCAGCCACCTCCAAGGAGTTGTTCAATGGCAAAGTGACTTAAACCTTCGGATCCTGGTGTCGCGCCCAAACTTCGGAACTTGGGACCCCGGTCAAACATCCTACTCTCAGGCAGGGGGCCGCTGAATTTTCACGCGAAACCCCCTCAAAGCAAATGCCAGAAGAAGCAACCCACTGGAGGATGCCTTTTTTTCCTCAGCCCTCAGGGGTGCTCCAAACGCGCCTGGAATCCTCAGTGACCACGTGCTTGGTAGGAGTGCCAGTGTGGCTCTCACCAGGCACTGCCGAGGTCTGGTTTGCAATCATCTCCTGGGAAAGCAAATGACAATTCCAAAGGAAGGTCCCAATGGACCTTGCGGAAATCTCAAGGGAGGCCTTTCTGGATAAGCTCGTTTGACCCTCAATCGGTAAGCATATTCAATTACAAACGACACCAACCATTTAAAGGGTCCCTAGATGTCCCTAGTTTGAGACACGGACACGCGTGCACGAACGCACCCACCAGCCGTGCGTGTCACACGCACACATACCTACCAGTACCACTGGAGCTGCTCAACTGTTCGGGCGCGCAAAACGAGCAATACCTCCAGCAAATCAAAAAACGCGGCGGGCAAATGAATTCCCCCCCCTGCAGGCTAACATGGAGCCACAACAAGCGTGTAGAAAAAACTGTGTGCTTTCGGCAAAAATGTGCTTCTGGAAAAGGGCTCCGGGTGTGAACCGTCAACTACGACTATTTGCTGCAAACTACTCAGCAAATGAACGCCGGCGTTGACCGCTAACGCCGGCCATTTTTGCTGAGTTGCTGCAGCAACCGGGCGGTAACCAAATACGATCAAAATTAACGATTAACGCCGGGAGGCCTGGATGGGCCAAAATTAAGACCGAGCACAAACAATGCGAAAAATCCCTTTGGGAGCCCATGTCGACTTGCGGGAAGGAGTGTTGCCTCACCAAGACGCTCCGGAAACTATGTTGCACTAATATATTCTTTTTCCGGCCACTCGCTGCTACCTGTTCCACCAAGAAGTGTCTGAAGGGCAAGCTCTCCAGACTCCATGCTCGGCAAAAGTCTTCTCAAGCACCCTTGGGAAATCACTCGCAACGTCTGGGTACGCATCGGCGCATGCAGTGAGGGGGCATGCAACCAGCCAGGCGGTTGCGGTTGCCGTATAGATATGATATCCAACTAAGGTATGAAGTGGGACACCTGGGTAAGCAACCCAGGTCTTGGTTTCCAACTATGCGTGGCGATGGAGGGAAGATCTGTGGTCATGCCCTTGTGGTTACATTCCCCACTTCCTGTTTTTCTATGAGTCCAAACTGTCGACACCCCCTTTCTTATTTTGCGGTTGCCAAGCAAACAAGGACACCACGTTATTCACTATGGTTGATGTTGGTTGCAACGTTTGGGCACGTGTCAAACCTAGCTAACATTTCCACAGTGGTGTCATGTTGCAGGGAAAAATGATTGGCACCTAAGAGTGTAAGCTTCGAGGGGTTATGTAACGAGTCAACGGGTCTTTTTACTATATCAGCTATATGGGGTCTGCACCAGGGTATGCAACGAATGTCCGCCGCAGTTTTGTTACATACCCTCCAAAAAGCCCACTTCCATTTTGCAAGAAATGCTGGGCCCCATTTGCATGGGTAGTCTGCCTCATCACTACTAGCTATACCTGCTACCCTGGTTCGACGGGAGACAACCACAGCGAGCATGTCTCCTTCACCACCTTGGAGACGTTGGGCTTGCTGGGGTCAGACAGCCTCGTCTGCGGAAAGCTGCCTTTCATGACCTTGCAAGCGGAAGCTGTTGCCACAAGCACAAAAGCAACTGGACGCCAACTTCTCCCCAGCTCTCTTATCCGGTGGCTTGTCCCTTTGGGCTATTTGGCGAAGAAGATCCGTTAAGCGATCGAAACCGCCTGACAGGTTGGGCCAAAGGCCCAACTTTGACCAAATGAAGGTACAAAGCCATGCCCCTGCTGCAAATGCATGTGCGCCAGAGTGAAAACTCCTGATATACGCCATGGTCACAGTCATGGTTCCAAGCAGGAGCCAATAAATAGCTGTCTAAATCCGTCTTCAGGGGTTCGTGACCCTCCCTACTCGCCACCGGCCAGTGGAGCCCTTCTTCCAAGCCACCGAAAAGCATCGCCGAGCCATGGGAGTGGCTCGATTTCCGCGCCCCGGGCCGCTGAAACGCCCAGGGCTATGGCCAACAACTGCTAAGCTGCCACGAGCCCAAGGGCAGGGACGCGCTCTGTTCTTAGAGGCTGGCTCTGGGGTTCCGGGTCGGATCTGAATGGTGGCTTTACCATTGGTTCCCTTCCAAAACCGCCAAGAATGTGTTTCCCTACTTTGGGAAGGGTTGCAACCCCGTCTGGGTGATGTTTCAGCTCCCCGGGTTAGGAACCCCCGCACGCTTATGCCAGTACCCTGCTTTGAGGAACTGACCCTCATGCATTTTGGATCCCTGCAGCTATAATGTCAACATAGGATTAATACATGCCACCAATGACGCCGAAGGTGCATTTTCGGGTGCCAATAGTAAAGAATTCTACACTCTGATGCGGGCCTTTAGAAAGACTTTTTGCGACCCACCTAACACTTTATCTAACTTCCGGATGCGTCCTCAATCCCCCAGAATCGGCCAGCTACAGCTGCAGCCACCTTCTTCAGCAGAACAGCTCCTCCTACTGAACCCATTTTACCTGCTTCACCTTCTCAGAAAGGGAAAATTGAATCCGATGTTAACATTCGGCTGCACAGCCAATGCACGAAAGCCTGACTTGCGTCCTCGGACTCTTCGCCCATGATATTCAGCTGCTGGGTCTGAGCGAGCTGATGCTCGACGCTCGGCACTCGGACAATCGGCGAGGGCTGGGGAAGCCATTTCAAATGGTTTGCAATTGAAAGTGAAGGTACAACTCTTATGCATCCTTCTGCTACTCGGTTTCGGCCGAGGCTGCACCGAGGCTGGGGCGATGTAATCCACTGTCGACTCCTCGCCGAACACCTGGGTAGTGTTCTGCCGTGCTTAGGGAGTAAAATCCAGCAAAAGCGGGAACTTTGGCGAAGCATGTCAGGTGCTTGAAGGGTGAGTAGGTCGGCAGGCTAGGGCATGGTGGAAGGCTTGCTCAATGTTTGTGAAGGGTCCCCACAAAATCCCCGTGGCGTGTGAGAAGGTGTGAATCATTGGCAATGGGGACATGGACAAATTGACAAACGATGCCGACTAACTAGGAAGGGTTCAAAGGCAGCGAGCACTAGCAACAGGCAAACACCGTTTACCCAAGGCTCTCAGTGGGTCGATATCCTATGGCTGCCTCACACCTTTCCGGTGCCTAAGTTGAACAGCAAAGGGTGTTGTAGGTCCTTGTGTCCGGACCCAGGCCTTTTTAAGGGCCCGGCTGCGCCCGTGTCCTCATCATAGAAGAAGCCCGTGCGGAGAGGCTTGTGCCCTGCACCCGATTCGTGCTTCTCCACTGCTCAGCATGTTGTTTCTTCTTGTGTTCAATTACCAAGACATGCGTACCACACACACGCACGCACACATACCCCCATTTTGTTTGGAAAGGAGGAATGCGGACAAAATCGGCAAAGTTCAGCCGCTGAAAGCAGAATGGGTTCATCAATGATAGGGTGCTCACAGCATACCGCCATGAAGCTGTAACTGAAACTACGAGTGTCCCTGTGGATGTCAAAAAGTTGTTGAACCTCTGCATCACGCCTGCAGTTGCGCGTTTGGCCTTCTGGCAGGACCCAACGAGGCGCAACTAAGTAAACAATAGGCATCCAAATGACGCGACTGCCACCGGGCCAAGCCTCGGTACAGGATCTGGTCAATAAAGCCTGCAAACAAGCTTTCGCTTCATCCTCTGCCGAAACCGAATCGCAAAAGACTCATGTAGGCCCCTGAGTTACGGTTTGAGGCTCGTTGGCAAGTTCTCTGGCGGGTGCTCTGCTGGGCACGCAGCCCGCACACAGTCATGTTGCACAGGAAACAAGGCCTTGCCGCGTTTTCCCTTCTTTAATTCCAAAGGAACCCCGTTCAGGGATGGACCATGTTGGACCATGTTCGTATCAATCCCGATCCATGGTTCTGGACAAGCTTGGTTTGACTGCATGCGCCACAAGGGCCCAACAATGGCACTGGTAGGGCCAGCCGGGCAGGGCCATCATCAACTTTCCAGAAAACTTTTCTGCGTCCAAACCAAGAACCAGCAAACAAACACAAAAGGTTCTGGTTGGAGCTCAGCCTCCCTTAGTCACATTCAATCAAGGAGATACCTTTCGGAGGGGCCTCAAAGAAACCTTCCACTTCTCGTCGCTTCATGTTTGCAAAAAATATAGACTTGCCTGAGGCGACGGGCCCGCCTTTCAGACTCTTATCAGAGAATCTCGGCCTTGGCGCACAGGGCGCCCGGGCCTATACCAGCCGATGCCATGGCGGGGCTATCTTGGGGGGACTTGAAGTGCTCCCTTCTGACAATACGTGCAAGGCCAAACGTGCCCGCCCCGGAAACAGCCTGTCGCAGGCCATGGAAAGCACCGTTAAGCTCGCTTCTTATTGGAATTCATCCGCGTCCTCTAGCCACTAGGTGGTTGAATGTCAATACCCGGTATGTCAATACCCGGTTGTTCTGTTTGGGTACTGCCAAGAAAGCCAACCAGCACAAGGATCCATTTTTCCACATGCATTGGTGTGACTTCAACAACCACTCGGTCATGGCTGCGCAATGCCTGCAGCAGAAGCCCAGGGCCACGGCTGCCCCACCGGGGGGTCGAACAGCGAGCTGCCTCGCAGGGCTTTGGCAACTTGGGAACGGCTTGCTGAGCCGAGTTCGCGAAATTAGGTGCCTAGTGGCCAATGGCGGAAATACCATGGTGGGGGGGGGGGTGGGGAGGGGGAGGTGGGGGCGGGGGGTTAGCTTGTTCAGCTCGGGGCCCATTCCCTAATTTCCCACCTACACAAGGGGAGATGCATTGACCCTTGATCAGCAAGGAAAGTCAGGAACTACAGGCTCCAGGCCGAGCCCGAGCACAAGCAGCCCGCTGGCACCATGAAATTTCCTGAATCTGGGTGCGAGATTGGAAGGATGGCTTGGGAAGCTTCTTATGGCATCGTCTCAGTAGTTGAGTTCATGTGATCTTCAACTTGGCCGATGGCTTGCTTCTTTTGGCGCGAACCCAGCGCTTGACGCACGCGAAGCACTCCCTATTTCCAGCCTCGACTCTTTCGGAAGTGCTTGGCGCTCTCGCCTGGGTAGCGCCTGGGTAGCTCTTTCGGGATCTATTGGGCTGGGAGTGGGCAAGGATTCTGAAATGGATTCGAAGCCCATCACCCTGAGTGCGTGTGTGTGTGTGTGAGAGAGGGAGAGATCCAACATCTTCCAAAAGGCGCAGCTGGAAGGGCCAAACACCGTAAATGACGCTTGGGCTCTTGCTCAGCAAACCTTCCACCCGGAGGTTGTCCCTTGGATAAATCCGTGTGCACACAATTGAAGGCCAACCGCCTTGCGAAGGGGGTCTGAGTGACAAGCCCGAATCACGCATGGGAGGCTCCCTTAAAGTTGGGGGAGATCTCTCCACACGCGGCCAAATTCCCCGAGACCCTGGCAGAGCCCACCACGGAAAGGGGCAGCTGGGACAAAGGTAGCCTGCGAGGCGGGCGTCAGCTAAGCCGGGCCTGCCAGAGCCGCTGAAGAAGCGAGCGAAGAATAGCCTCTCTCTCCAAGACCGGAAATTACACAGCCAAACATCTCGAGTCATAGCCTCGAGACCTTTGATGGCCCTTCGGTTGCGCTGAAAGATGGCTGATTCCAAGCCCATTGCCGCAACAACTATTGCAGTGCCGTGAATCCTGGCATCCATACTGTCGCCCTCAAAAAAATCACATGAAGGCCGAATGCCTTTGTACGTGCCCAAAACACAATTGCTTGAGGCAAACAACGGTCACCCTGGTTTGGAAGCTTGATGTGATGTGAACGTTGCTCTTTTTGTTCGAAGGGCAAGCATCCCAGAATAATTGCAAAGGCATCATGCCCAATACACCCTTTGAGACCCAGCGGGCGGGCTGGACATGGCACATTCCAGGCCGGCTGCACCGTGCAGCTGAGACGGTTTGTCCAGGAACTGCAGCAACGCTTCCAACCCGCCCCCTGCTCCCTTTGCCCCTGGCCATCACCAGGTTTTGCGTCCTCAACCTGAAGCTCAACTTTGGCGGAAAGGGAGTTTTAGACCCGACATGACCAGCCCGCTAACCAGTGGATGGTGAATATTCAAACCTGCCGCGTGGTCTTCCAAAAGGGGTGACTGAGAATGGCCCAGGCGAGTGCCTGATTTTCCAAAGTGGCAACCTGCAAAGAACATAAAAGAACCCAACTGACCGTCTGGACAAACCCCATGGCGAGGCCCCGCAAGCACGTGAGGCGATCAAGCCATCTGGGCAAATCGCGCAAAACCTTCCATGCAGGCTCCTGTGAATGTGGTCTTGTAAGCTAGGTAGAACCATGGTACTTTGCCATGTTAATGGCTGTTCTGGAATCAAGCTGTCGGCAATCAAGCAGCTACTCCATACACCAAGGCTGGCGGAACAACTCCAATCAGGCTGGTTGCTCCCTGCATGTGCTGGCGTTCGCTGGCATACTGTGGACAGTGTCTGCGGAAACAGGTGCAAGCTTCGTGCATACACATTGCGCACTGAGACAGTCAGGACATCTGGCGTGGATCCTGCACCAAACCATCCACAGATCTCGAAGACCTCATAGGATCTCATAAGAACCAACTAGAGCATCAGCCCTTCCGGCATGATATGACATGTAGAAAGCATTTGCATTCTCACTTGAAAGGCGCCTGCTTGGGGAACTAGATGATCTATCTGAGCCCGACCAACATCCAGCAATCACACCGGGGCCGTTTTACAAATGACTCTGCCAGGTGGCGAAATGAAGACTTGCGCAGCCCCTTGTAGTTGCGCAAGGCTGCAAAACAGGACACGGCATGTTGAAAGCTGGGGCCGGTACCGCCTCTGTCCTTGGCCGTCGAGTCCCAAGAAGGTCCAATTTAATCTACGCGGAACACCGCCCACCACTGACCTCCAATCATTAATGTTCCATGTTTGTCGGGCTGTTGCTCATACTTGATGGGTCTGGTAAAGGAAAAGCGGGTGCAACTGAGCAACTAGTATCGACCCGCAGGAACGCACAAATCCAAAGAAGGTCCTGCTTGGTGGGACGAACCGCCTACCAACTGGTGCAGGATTTCGTCCAGTGGGCATAATCCTATCTGTTAAAGTATGGCGTAACATGGCCACCCGCCGCATGTTCATCGAGTCTGTGGATTCCTTGGAAAAGAAAACTAAACCAACAGCCTTGCGCGAAAAAAAGGGCTTTCGTCTCTCCCTTGCCGACAGCAATATTCAGGACTTCCACTGGCACAAGCGAATGCAACGTCAGGTTCCCACACAATCTCTTGTTTAAGCAACATGTTATTCTGTTGGGGGCTGCCGCAACCTGCTCAAGGAGGCCCCGACTAAACCTCCAGCTGCTTTAGATGGACAAATGAGTTGCAGTTGTTATCCTGTTCAAGCTTGAATGGATGTCATTGGCCCCTTCCGCCAAACCTCCGCCGTGTGTGTGAGGAGTGCCTTCGCTGGCTTCTGCTGCCAGATTCATGAGAGGCTTTGCATGCATTCCTGCACCTGCGCAAGCAAGCAAACAAACATGCCTGAAATGGAATCATTGCAAATTCAACGCTGTTTTTGTTCAAGCGACCTCAGGCTCGAACAAGCCCTCACACCATGAAAGGGTGCTTCACCATCTGGGCGACAGATGATCTTGTTGCCGCTTACTGGGCATAAACATCCATTGCAAAAGTCCGAAGCAACATGGGGTGGAAAAAAGTGGCTAGCCAGGAATTTGACAACGTTCAAGCTGATATCCAACGATGTCTCTCTCCACCGCGGCCAGAACTTGTGGGGCCCCGGCTCCTCACCTGGCAGAAGCGTTGAAAACCCTGGGCCAGTGCCAAAACTGCTTACAAGCGAATCCACCAGCAGGGGGCGGAAGGGGGGGAGGGGTGAACGCTCACAGACAATGGTGGGCTGTTGAGTTTTAGAACTTGGTGCTTGCCACTGGCCAAGAATGGCAGCATCAAGTGGTTTCAATGGGCAGAAAAAAAAAACACAGTGACTTGTTCAGCCCCCCCCCAAAAAAAAAACAAAAAAGGAAAGAGGCAGGGTGGGTGGTTCGGCTGCAGTCGGGGCATGAAGCCGGGTCAACATGGCCCGACTTGTGGTCTGCTTACTAGTCTTTAGGCCAAAACGCAAACCGACAAGAAAACAGGCTTGCTGGGGGCATCCTTGAAAAGTGACCTGACCCCTGGGAAGAAAGGCTCTCGCCAGGCCAAAACGTGAGGCGCCAGCACGGATGCCGAAACATTCCGGGCACACACACACACACACGCACGTCCGTAGAGTTGGACGGAAGGTCAAGCTTCCTCCAAGATTCCACGCGAGGCTTCTGAATCAAAATGCCACACTGTGCTTGCAGGAAGCCCAAGGTTTCACCTTCATGTCCATGCCCACCTAGGGCTTCAACCCCATCCCCGCCCCAAGCCCCCCAAGCCCCCCCGCCGTCAGAGCCATCCGGGCCATCCAGGAAAGTCACCATGTATGGAGCGCGAAGCAGAGGCGAACGTCGGAAATGGCACGAGCCTGCCAATTGAGATGTTGTTTTTCTTTGCGGACTGCAAACGCCCTAGCCCAACATCAGCTGATTGTGGAGGATGCCGAGGATGGGGGCCAAACCTTGGGCTCATGACGCCATTCGAACGCTGATGGAAAACTGCTTGAGTTTCACCGTGGCTTGAGAAAGGGCATTGAAACAGTTTCAGGGCCCAAACGCATGCCTCTGGGCGGGTACCCTTGGTATCCCGCGGATGCCCCATCGCGTATTTCATCCGAGGTTTTGTGCAGCACCTACTGCTTGGTACGTGGCTGGACCCTTGGGAATGGGTGAGGGCAGGTTCAACTGGTCTGCTTGCTTCGGCAGTCTGAGCCTCTGAGCCTCTGACGACATGGGCCGGGGTTGGGCCAAACAAGCAGTTTGAACCATTGGTTTAAGCGACCTTCTGTCGGCTTCCCTTGAAGGGGTAACCTGGTGGTTGAGCTGGGCCCGGGAAAACCGCCTCGGTCCGGAAAGTGCCAGGTACTGTCCAGTCGAAAAGGCAACAGCACGAACTATAATTACCGGCCGCTGTTCGCCGAGCACCAACAAACCCTTGACCCAGTCGCCAAGATCCGACTCAAGTCACCCGAGAACCCACCGTTCAACCCGCGAGGCATCGTGAGGCCGCCCAAACCCACCCTTTAACCCTGCACCCAAACCCTAATGCAAGCCCACATCAATCCTAAACCAACGAGTCTGAAACCAAGCCTAAACTAAAGACAACCTCAATTTGTCAATCCACACTAGGCATGCCTATGCCCACACTAAGTGGCCGTACATCAAGCATAACTTGAGCTAAGCTGCAACCGTCCGACACTCAGTCGGCCCTAAATTTAACCTAGACACTAGAGTAAATCCCCAAATTCATGCGTAGCCATCCCCCAAACATCCAGGTAGAGTGTCCGTCCGCTAAGGCAAGTGCTCCAACGAAGCCTTTCCCTCAACTGCTTTGGGCAAAGCCGGACTACCCATTCAACTCCATACTAAGAATCCGCACAAGCTGCATTTCGCAGCTTGAAAACAAAAAAAGGCTCTGCGGAAATAGCATGCTAGAGCCATAGAAGGGGAGCCGCAGTCTAAGAGCGACTACTAGTCACTAACTAGTGAGGACTATTCATGCTAATGACTGACCTTCCCATGGTCTATGGGTCTGAAACAGTATTGAAAGTGAGGGACCTTGCTGGGCGAGCCCTGGCGTTAGTGAGCTGGTTGCCTTCGAATTTGCGCAAACTGCATCCACTCCTCAACCCCATTCAACAGCCAGCCCAGGGAAGAAGCCCGTTGGCCAAATCTCATGCATTCCTGAAGGCTGGAGGGATACAAACGCCAACCCCGGATGCAAACCGGCACTTCGGGTGCCTTTTGGTTTTTGTAGGCAGCCACCAGGAAGATGGACATAGAAGGGCCCTGTTTGGACAAGTGATCCAGTGATCAATCAACTGGCTGCACACACACACACACATCCAGATAGTAGACAATGCAACCAAAGGTTGACGACAATTGAACAGAGAGATCACATCAGGGATTCAATTACGGCTATAAGCATGCAGACTTTGAACTGAGGCAAGGAAAGGCCTTGCCCAGCATTTTTGGTTGCAAAACCCACCCCCTTCCGGTGATACCAATTTGGCCAGTACTTATGGCAATTGTGTCATGTATTTAAAGGGGATCCCCGGGATCATTTTAGAAAGCCCTCAAGCCCTACCGTGGATGGACTAAAGTCTGCAAGTAAATAAGCCATGAATGCCGGGAGTAACCCACCTACCAACTGCTTGGGGTCCACCCACAGCATTTCCACCTCGCCCCATCTGCTTTTTGCTGGACGACACGTCCGGCATCGGCTTTGGCGCCGGAGGCCGGGCAGCAAATTTTCTGCCGCCCGGCGCTTAAGATCGGGATGGTGGGGCTCCGGAAGCCCGAAACGAAAGGAGGGCTAGAATCCGTGTGCCAACTTTAAGGCCCCAACCCAACGAACCGTTGGAAGAGTTGGTTGGAGCAAGGCACATGAATGACATGACCTGCGCCTGCTTTAGACTTCGCTGGGCACGCTTAGCGAATCCTCCCTTCACCGCCCCACCCTGAATTCGCTTCACGAGTCGGCCGCGTTGCTTCGCAAGTGGGCGGCCTGCCTAGCTAAGCCAAAGGATCCTGGCGAGGGCTGAAGCTCTCAGTCGCGACCCGAATGATTGGAACGGGGTGGGGTTCTTGGAGCCAAAGTCATGGTCGGAAATCAAAACGATAACAATGTGCGTGTGTCAGCAAGTTTAGCCCTTTACTTTGCCGTATTTCCAACAATCACGGAAGTGGACCGAGTTTGGAAGACTGCCTCTTGAGCAGGCCCCAGAGGCCATTCCACGATTGTTGGAAAGATGATAAAAGCAGGCAACAAGCGCTTCGTACGGGAAATGCGTGCTTGCCAGGATCGATTGGAAAAGTTCGAGGGTAACAGGCGACAACCACATTTCACATGCAATGCAGCGGAAAACCGCCTGGCCGTAGAAGCCGTGAGTAGGGTCCCAGTGGGCAAGGGTGGATCCCCATCTTCCCAACATTTCTGCTGCATGCTTGGTCTTTGGCTTTTTTGTGAGGAGCTACGATCCCTTGCCAAAAGCAAGGATTCCATGTGAATCTTGCTCATCTTCCCCTACCATTCAAGCCTTCTTGGCAGCACCTCACGGCAACACACCAAACCCGAACTGACCAAGATTTGCAAGCGCCATGAGCAGACACTTCATGATTGATTGATCTGGCTAGCGGATGAACCTTTCCAACAGCAGACCCAGTTTGACGATGCATGCAATTTGTTGCTGGCCAGGTATCCATGGGATCTGGACAGGGCTATCCAAAACACACTGCAGCAAGGTATGCACAAGCTTGACACCCTGAGCCCTGGACAGAGCTGCAAGACAAACACACATTTGCATGTTTGTATATGCCTTACGGCCTTTCGCTGTACATGTTCCCATGAGCAAAGCCAAACATGTGCCATGGCTTGCATTGTTGTTGTTTCCAAACCGGCTGAATTCAAATTCAGCAGACCGCCCCATGGCGATGAATCTGCGACATCGGTGACGCAAGCGCCTCAGCTTCCAGGCCCCAGCGGCGGCAGCATGTAGTCCTTAAAGCGGCGGATGGCCACGTTCGGAGGGAGGGAGGGAGGGAGGGAGCTTCAGTCAACCACAGCCCTTGTCTCGTTAAGGACTTGTTTTGTGGGTTCAGAAAGTGAGGGGGGATGCCGAACCTTGCCCAGAGAAGGAAAGGCCAATCCAATTCTCAAACTTTCTGCGGAATCAACTGCCGACGAGACCCAGACCCCTTTCGTATCATTTCGAAACCCGAGGGAAGGATAAAGGTTTGCCTTGAACCCAACGAAGGAAAAGGGTGGTACTGGACAACTGGACAAAGGTTGCTTTCTTCATATGAAACCACACCGCTGGTCAGCAAAGACGTCGCTGACCTCCCTGGTGCAGAAAAGGGGTCCCCTTCGGCTCTCTCACAGAAAAGGGTTAACACGGGCTGGGAACAGCTGGTGCGCCCTAACCTAGATAGAACGTGTGCTTAGACGAGTTCATAACCCACCAGTCTTAAATCCAGGGTGGGCCGCTGCCCTATGTCTAGATTATATACTTATATATATGTTCCAGGCCGTGGACCCCCCCCCCTCCCCCCCCCAACCCCCCCCTGGGGTGGGTGGTGGGGTGGGTGGGTGGTGGGGTGGTGGGGTGGTTGGGTGGTTGGGCCAACCCCCCCCCCTGTGGGGGGGGGTGGGTGGTGGGGTGGTGGGGTGGTGGGGTGGTGGGGTGGTGGGGTGGTGGGGGTGGGGTGGTGGTGGTGGGGTGGTGGTGGTGGTGGGGTGGTGGGGTGGTGGGGTGGTGGGGTGGTGGGGGTGGGGTGGTGGGGTGGTGGGGTGGTGGGGTGGTGGGGTGGTGGGGTGGTGGGGTGGTGGGGTGGTGGGGTGGTGGGGTGGTGGGGTGGTGGGGTGGGTTGGGTGGTTGGGCCAACCCCCCCCCCTGTGGGGGGTGGGTGGGTGGTGGGGGTGGTGGGGTGGTGGGGTGGTGGGGTGGTTGGGTGGTTGGGTGGTTGGGTGGTTGGGTGGTTGGGTGGTTGGGTGGTTGGGGTGTGGTTCGGAGTTGGTTTAGGCTTGGTGGGTTGGTTTAGGGTTGGTTCAGGGTTGGTTCAGGGTTGGTTTGCGGTGGGTTTCGGGTGGGTTTGGGTTTTGGGTTGATTTAGGCTTAGGGTTGGGGTTAAGGAGGGGTTGCAGGGTGGTTTGGTTTAGGGTAGGATGTTGCGAGAGGTGCGGGGGTGTTGGTTCACGGGGTGAAAGGGGGTCTGGGACCGAAGCTGCAGGGCTCGCACGGTACTGGACAGCATCCCCAGCATTGCCAGCATCATCCCCAAGATGCGGATGATGCGGGGGAGTGGGGGGACCATACCATTGGGGGGGGGGGGGGTACGTGGCCCAGGGACTGGTACATATATATATATATATATATGTATATGTGTTCCAGTCCCCAGGCCCCAACCCCCCCCCAAGGGTAGGGTCCCCCCTCCCCCCGCATCATCAGCATCATTGGGATGATGCCAGGAATGCTGGGGATGGTGTCCAGTAACGCGTGGAACATGCATATATATATATATATATATATGTGAGTAAGTTTATACATGTATGTCATATATACATATGTATATATCATATGTACATATGTATATGTCATATGTACATATGTATCTATGTGGCATACGTTCATACTCATCTTGTCCTTAAACTGGGTTGTTCTAGCAGGGGATCCCCAAGCCACATCCATAACCTGTCGTGGGACACCACTACATCAAGACAAAAGTGGTGAAGCGGTGAAAGACCACCTCCACACAAGGCGATTGAACCCAGTTGAACAGCGTCAGATGGCTGCCCATCCACTGGTTAACAGGTGACATGAACTACATGAACTAGAACGTGAGTTTTCTGCTGATGTTGCACCATGCATCATGTTCCAGGGGCACCTCTTCCGATTGCCTAGTGCCTATCTAATTCATCATGCCGATGCTGGATGCCTCACGACTTGTAGCGTGCAATGTCTTGGAAGACGCACATGCTGTCCAAAAGCCAAACTATAAGTCATCATAAGTTTGTAGCCCAATTCAAACGCACTTCCATGATGCTGTCTTTTGCGCCACTACCAGAACACGTCATATTCTACTGGACACTCTCCCTTGAAAAATGCCAAGTTGGACACTGTTCGAGCATTTTTTCAAAAGGAAATCGTTCATCAATCATCGCTCATCACCCCCTGGGCACTAGCAGCTTGAAGAAATTGCTCCAAACTCCAACAGTGCTTCAGAACTTGATCAAACATAAGCCCGCGGCTTAAAGCACCCAACATGTTCAAGGGGTAAACACGGGACATAGGATGACGTAGAGAAACATGGGAAAAGCTTTTGGAAGGGAAATGCGGCTTGGGCTTCCAGTCCAACGGGTCCCGTCAGCCTGGATCCACGAGGCCCGCACCACCGTCTCCCAGCGCAGCTTCTCCTCGGGCCTCACCCCACGTCCGACAGGACACCTCCCCTTTTTGTGTGAGAATTCTGCATGTTGTTTTTCCCTTTTTAGGAAAAGAAACGCCACTTGCAACCAAAGGATGGGAGAGAACTGATTTTGGGACCCTGACAAAGCATGGCCCGAAATTGGGGCAAAAACAAGAAGCCAGCGTTGGGCAAGTAAGTGAAATGGGAAGTGATCCCTCTTGAATGCGTCTTTGTTGAAGAAAAATCATTTTAGCCGGCCCCACAGGCGGGGTCCCCTTTTTGGGAAGTGCACAAATTTGTCCCCCCTTCAAATGCCTACCGAAAAGGGTTCTCAAACAATTCTAGGATGCCTACACACGTACACATAGATCCCTCAAGAAGTCTGCTTCAGTTCCTGCCAGTTTGGCAATGGCCGGTCAGAAGTGCTTCAGAAACTCAACTGCCACGAAAAGACCTTTGGCATCATTTGGGATCATCAAGGGCAACCAGGGTCATGCCCTCAGCCAACAAGGCCACGGCTGCTGCTTTTTGGCAGGCTTCTTCTTCTTGTAGAAGTATGGAAGCCTGGACGGATGGGCCAGGGACCGCATGCTTGCAAAAGGGCTCCTGAGGCTAAACGAGACGATTCGTTCAAATTATGTCAAACGTGCAACCCAAAAGGCTAACACTTTTCCAGGGGTGTCCTTTTTAAGCGACCCTTTAACGGTTGGCTTAAGACAATCCTCACCCCACGCTGTTCAAAAACCAAAAGCATGCACATGCACGGCCCCGTGGTCAATGTTGCTTTGGATTGTCCAGATTGTACGTCCTTCCTTTCAGCTGTGGGAACATCAACGGATCATCTGCTGTCGCTGGATAGTTCCTCCCCGCCATGATCCTCGCAGACGATTTATCCAAATAGCTTGGTCAACAGGTTGCTGCCTACTGCCTCTTGCCCGTATTCGGCCCATTGGTCGCGGCACCACGGGCCTCCGCCGGTGAAGGGCCACAATCGGATCGGCCGGCTCCTGCCAGCCGATGGCGCCCGCTTGCGGCCTTTTGGCGGCCTTTCAACACCCAAGAAACAACTCAGCTTAAAAGTGCCTGAAGTGCCTACAAATGATGCTTAAAAGTTAAACATTGTGAACTACTGGATAAGGAACTCGCAGGAACAACCTACAACCCAAAGAAAAGTGGTGGTTTGGAAAATGATAGGACGTCCATAGAGGGCAGAACCCCTCATTCAAAGGCTCCGGATTCTCACCACGACATCCCCCCCGAAACAAATTTCAGTCAAGGGGGACCTTTCGGATCAGGAGCTCGCCTCCTCGCTGGATTCGGCTTCCTCGCTTGACTCGCTGCCAAGCTGCCTGTCATCGAAATGGAGAGGGCCGGTCTGGAGCCCTGGAACAATCGAACATCTAATGATCGAATAGTTGCTTGCAAAATTATTTGCTTTGTTTCTTTTAAAGACGGTCCTGGGAGGTCCTCGAGGGGAAAAACAACTTGAGGCCTCATTGCTATAAGCCTTACAGGTTTTACGGGGAGTCCTAGCTTGGACGGTGGTCCTTCCCAAAGGGACCTTGCTTTCAAGCCCATGTCAAGCAGCCAGGTCACCTGTCAACAAGCAGGCTTCAATCTTGAATCTCTAGCTTAGTGCCAAAAACTCTAGCAACATCTCCATTGTTAGGCTAAGGCCCACGTCCTTCTTCTGTCAATCCACCTGGCTGATTGGACCGTAAGCTGCCTCCCCTCAGTTGGACTCGAAACAAGTCAAGTCAAGCAAGTCACTCCCCTCCCTCTCAAAGCGCCAGAGGAAATCAACATTGCTCCTGCGCTGCATCTATATGCTCAATATTCATGCACAAGAAGCTTCAGCAATCTACAGATGTGTATATATATATATATATATATGTATATATATATACACATGTGTGCACGTGTGTCAATATTGCAAAGACCTTGCCAAGGGTCCAAATTACATCGAAACACTAGCACTACAAGCTGCACGACTGACTGCGTGCACTGATGCTTTTGATCCACAAATTCGGCCCATGCCCATCTTTCAGCCGGGGCAATCCACTACAAGAGCACGCGACTTAAGCTGCGCATCATCCCGCGGAAAGCTTCGCATCATGCACGGAGCTGTGGGAAGCAAATGTCACACCACCCTGTAAGAAGTTGAATCCCACCGAGGCGCCGGATCTGGTCTATAAAATTCAAAATACACCATGTGGACAAGACATGGAGGGCGCCGATGCAACATCAACATGCTGATGCAACCTCAAACCTACTACTCGTATAAACCTGCCGAGACTTTTATCATCCTGGCCAGGCAGCTAGTCAACGCCAACTTCTTTGGTTCATCTTGTTTGGTGATAATTTTGCCTGAGGCTTCCTTCTCAGAACAAACTGAGGGATCCCAATGGGCACCACTCTCGCCCGCCAGCGTCGAATCTTGCCCCCTCGCACCTCTTCTCTTCTTGCTGTCCTCTCGCAATCCCAAGATCAAGAATTGGCCCTGCAAAAGCCAACTTGTAGAATCCGACTCACCAAGCAAGCACGCAGCCAGCAAACCACACCAAGCCAAACCAACCCTCATACCACCCACCCAACCAACCCCGGCAAAAGGCCAGGCTGCCGGGCCTAACTCCAATTCGAACGACTCACCTGCATATGCCTGATGGATGAAGTTGTTTGCCTGATCAACGGGTTCCCTTTCCATGACACTCCGTCAACAAAACAAAGGCTGCTTGGCCGAGCAAGCCCGCCTGCTGCTGCCTTCTTTCCTGGCTTCTGGCCCTTCCTGAGACAAGCGGCTCTGAGTGTCCGGCTGCAACACGGCGCTTGAAAACGAAAGGTGTGGTTTTTCTTGCGGGTAGATGGATTTGTGTCAGCAGTGCAAAAGGTAGTCACCTAAGAAAGTGCAATATTCACAAGAGCTTCTTCTTGACTGGTGTGAGCGTAAGCCCAAAAGAAAATCCTGCGCCATGTGCATACTTTAGCTTCAAGCCACGTGGTCAGGATTCTATGGGCTATCCTGTACTCTCTGTCTCTCTCTCCCTCCCCTCCCTCCCATCCCCTCCCATCCCCTCCCCTCCCCTCCCCTCCCCCCTCCCCTCCCCTCCCCTCCCCTCCCCTCCCCTCCCCTCCCCGCCCTCCCTCCCTCCCTCCTCCCTCCCCCTCCCTTCTTCCCCCCCCCCACACATGCTTGTGGCCCAAGCTGTATGTCCCCGTCCGTGTCCAACCATTGATGTGAACGCGCTCGCAAGGCGGGACCAAAGCATTGGTGTTGATGGCACCAGCTCTGTCCAAGTCGCTTCTCTTGCCGAATCACGTGCTGCATGTACACCAAAGAGGCCTACACCAAATGCAAGGGGCTTCGGGCAAGAGGGCACGTTTCACAGTCGCTGCCGTGACGGGGAAAAGAAGCGGCATTTGCTGGGAACGTGACTAGCCATTTCGGATGTGACTTTTGCGGATCCACCCCTGTAGGATTTAAAAACAATACCAAAAAAAAGAACCAACGGGAGAAAACAAACAGGTGAAGTCCACAAAAATCGCATCCAAACCGTTTTCTAGACCACTGTGCAGGATATCTTTTCAAGATCGCCCACTACAAATGATGGAACAGGACACCTTCAATCAGCGGCACCTGATGTGGTTTTTACGTGGGCATGCCTAATGTCAACACCGTAGCCCTGACCAATTCGCCATGACTCGACGAGACAAGGGGGGGCGACTCAACAATAAACATTTCGTCAGCCGTCTCGTTTAATGGGGAGTGGCATTGCAGAGTGATCTCAACCCCCACTAAAACGGGATACCAAATCCTCGCCTTTGGGGAAGAGCGACAAACCTTGGCCATTCTTTGGTCCCGATTTGGGCATTGCCTTCAGAAATGACTGGTTTCCTTTTAGTTCCCCCCCCAAGAAAAACAAACAAAAGGGTGCCAAGTCTAAAAATGCAAAATGGGCTCTCAAGGACACTTTTAAAGGGAACCTGCCAAAGGTAGCCTCAAACAGGTGACTTCAGCTGGCCTGTGGCATGGTGTCCAGCAGCACGTATCGCCTTGATCCACGCGAGGGAGAGAGAGAGAGAGAGAGAGAGAGAGAGAGAGAAAAAAAAACAAAAACAAGAAGGAGACTGGCTCAGATACACACTCACACACACACACACAAAAACACACACATACGCATGATGACATGATGCACGCCGCGAGCATGCAGCTTTGACCCATCTTTTAGCCATGTGAACTTCGCTGAGCGAAGCACACTACTCCGCAGAAGCAAGTTTGCGGTGCCTTTGAGCCCGTCGAAAAACCACGCAACCCTCCGGCATAGGCGAACACAGCTTGGCTCCGCTCCCGCATGCCCCGACGCCGGCCGGCTTCGACTCCGAGGCATCAGCTCCACGTTTTGGGTCGAGGCCTCGAAGATGAAGCGGTGGCCCAAAGCGCCAGGGAACCATCCCCGGTCCCCTGCAAGGCGTGCGGCAAGCCGGTGCTATTGGGGACGGGGGAGCGGCGCATCTCTTACGATGTGCTAGTATTTCCTGCCTGCTATGCAAACAAAACGCGGGGCCCAAACCTACACAATCGTTCACTGCCTCTTTGTGTGAAAATAAGAGGGGGCCCTAAGTATTGTCCAACAACCAATTTGGCCTCCAAATGTTTTGCCGTCCAAATGGAATGCTCCACACAACGCATGAATTCGCCTAGCAACAGCTTGTGCTCGTCGGGGTGGACGATGCTCACCTGCCGACTGGTCTGCCCACAAATGACCTTCTAGCTGCAATACAAGTCTGGTGGCATCACAAAATGCATGCTTGCGAATTCACCAACCGGGATGCAGTCGTCCTTCAGCCACTCACAAGTCTCAATTGGCAACCCTTCTGAACATTCATCCATGCCAGCAAGCACCAATTAGCCGATGGTTTGCAACCCAAACTTCCAGTGGCCATATGCTTTCTGTAAGTGAAAAACCCCCAAAGACAAGAAACAACATGGTTTGACTGGAGGTCTGGGGCAACATGCAGGCGGCAACAGTTCGCCTGCCATCGCTTGCGCAAATGGTCCGTCATGTCTGTAGGCTGGCAGAGACAGCTACTGGGCGGCGCGTCCTTGGCTCGAGCTGCTGGCTTTCAAGCCATCGCCTGAATCTGGGTGTTAACCCAGACCAGTGGTCATGGAGGAAAAAGGCCGACTTTGTTTTGCACCTTAAAGGGCGCACCTAAAGCTCTCAGCGCCAAAACAAACCAAACGTGCAAGCGCAACGCAGGAGGCTGTGGAATGTTACGCGTTGCCCTTCATACCTACGTGAAGAGTTTTGTGATGTGGCTGGCGTGGCAGGCCAACCCATCAGCCCCCCATCCAAAACAAAGCTATTTTGCTCTGCCAGAGTTGCGGCGTTCGCCTCCGCCGTGATCTGGGAGGCTGTCTCCGGCCGCCTGGCTCACTTGAGGCGGAAAACCCCGGTGTTCACGCTCTTTTCCTACACTCAACTGTGTTGAATTCTAAGCGGCGGTCTTCTTGGAAGTTGTGTGCTGTAGTTGGGGCCTCAAAATTGGAACCTGACAAGCGGCCACAGTGTAAGCATGCGCGCCTGAGAGCTCATAAGCGTGCAGCATGGGCAACAAGAAAGCAGGACGGCAGGAAAAACAGGCAGGGAGGGAAGCAGCGAAGGAAAGAGCAAGGAAGAAGAGGACAACAGGCAGGAGCAAAAGAAGCATAGCAGCTGGCAGCATAGCAGCAAGTAGGGCTGAAATAACGCTTGTGACAAAAGGGCCCGGAGGGTAACCAGTCAATACCAGCCATGAAACCACCTCGGCCTTGCTATTCCGCTTGCAAAACGCTTGCGCGGAACTAGCGCGAAATCTTACGAGTCAAAACGGCAAAAACTTGTATGTCTTTTGGAGCAACCAACAACAACCCCCACATACTTCAAACAAACTAATGCTGGCACTGATGCTTGGAGCCACCAAACTGTTTGGGACCCAAATCCGACTTGAGCGAATCTTGTGAACACTGCAGTTTTGACTTGCGCGGCCCATCGCGGCCGCATGCTTGTTCAAACTTGACATGCCGAGTTCCAAGCGGCGGCCCACTTACACGAAGACTAAAAGAAACCCTGGGATCTCTGAATACATAGAAAGTATGCCCCTGCTTTTTTGACTCACCTGGGCCTTCCAAATAAGCGCCGAGGATCGAAACGCGCACCACAGCTCACCAAGCTGGTTCCGTGTCAAATTCTGCTTTTTGGAAATGGACACGCTATCAGGGAGGCCGTGTCAAACTGTTCTGTCCAGAGCTCCTTGGTTTGACCATGCTTCCGGCTCTTGAGAGTTGCCGTACTGGGTTGACCGTATGGTGTCGCAACCTCTCCCCTCCACATACGATACATTGCATCCCATGCCTCACAGGGGTTCCGCTGCGCGAGACAAAGTCGGCGTATCTGCAAGTCACAGCCTCAACCGCTCAAGACCGGCGTCTGCAGGCCCTATGGCCGCCGCAAAGCGTCCCCTGGAACGTGGTCAGGTTTCTGTTGATTTGCTCTTCATTTCCTCTTCATGCTCGTCCTAGTCAGGTTTGGTCAATACTCGGCAGCCTCCGCATGTCTGACAAGAAGCACAGGAGGAAGAAGTAATCTCAATCACCCCCACCCATCGGGCCTAAAAGGGTGGACATTTGGCATTCCGCCAAGTCCTCCAAGGCCGCCGCTGCCGGATCTTGTAAAAAGGTCCGCGGCACCTGGTTGGCCGGAAAGGTGTAGAGGTAGAAGTCACCGTGGCAAAACCTCACAAGAGACGTGGCCCTGCCCCGCCCACCCACCCATCCACTTCCCACCCGCCAAGAAACCACCAAGCAGCAATCAATCCGCTCCTTCACTCGCTGCATGCTCACTTCAAACTGGCAGCTTTGCTCCCTGGAAGTGTGCTTCAAATAATGCTCGGCGGGTGCGCAGCTTCGTTTTGGCAGAATCGAATCCAATAAAAGGGGCTTTTGATTTTGAAATGATTCGACCTTCCAATCGGCTTGGGAATTGCCTCGGCAGACCTCCCTTGCCAACCGCCCAAAGAGGGTCGTGGCGCCAACCCAATTGGCTTCCAACTCTGCATCTCACGACAAACCTGCACTCCCAAGGCTGCCGCACTTGAGGATATCTTCAATGGGGAGGCCCCTTACCCGCCAACTCCTGAGCCAAGAGGCCAGAAGAAGGGATCTGCCGCGGTGAGCGCTCCGGGGCCTTTCGGGACCTGTCGCAGCTCGAGTGTCTCGAGCAAATGGAGCTCACAGCCTGGAAGGGATGAGGTTTGCCAGTGCCGGTGGTGCCAAGAGGCCCACAAAGCCCACCTTGAGCTGCCGCCCAGATGCTTCTTTGTGAGCATGTTCTTTTGCCCTCATGGGCAACTTGGGTGAAGGAGCGTTGGGTGAGCACTTACCCAGGTTTTCTTTCAACCCGTAGGCCATAGGCTGATCTTGATAGAGCTTCGAGCAATCTATGATCTGGAGTTTTTGCGGCTGTTTGACCCGCTGGACAGTAGGAGTATGCGCGAAGAACAATATTATGCTGCCTTACTAGTGGTTTCTTCTAGGAGGAATTGTGCAAACATTCTGGGCTGCTTCACTCAGCTAAGTGTTCCAGCGTGTCCCTACCAAGGGCGAGCCTGCTGCCGCCTCATGGCAAGCTGCTGCTTCCTCCTGACGCAGGGAGGACCACTCCCCTGCCACCCCGCGCCAGCAAACTCCGAGGGGGAATAGTCCAATCACGGGCCGCACTTGGTGACCGACATGCAACCGCGTCAGCATCCCCAAAGACATCGCTCCATGAGAGTTAGTTAGTGCAAACGACTATCTTTCCGGGTTTTGCCAACTGCTTGGGACTGCCAGTGGGCAAACACATAATCCACTACAGAAATCAGAGTGACATACACGGCGAAGAGCTACTTCGCACCACGTGTTCGCAACTACATGACATGATATGATTGAAACCTCACAGGATCAGCTTTGGAGTTCTCGCACATTCCTCTGTCAGCCAAGAATAAACACATATGGTTGCGATCCTGAGTCATGCGAGGGCAATGAACTAGAATTATGAAAACTTTGGGCAAATGCAGGCCAAACTAACTTGAACCTGGTCCTATCAACCAGGTGGCCCGGCAAGTATGTTGACCTAAAGCCTAGCCTGTCTCCAAACGCAGTAAGGCCAGCGTCAGGCGAGCGACTAATGGGCACCCTCGGGCCTTGACATGTACAAGTGTGGCAAGGCAGGTGGAGCACGCGAGAACACATTTGCATTTTCCAGCTCAAGAGGGCCAGCCGTTTGGATTTTGGAATGCTACATCCGCCACTCAGCCCCCCAACGTCTTGCCTGAGCTGCTGCTTCCTCTCCTCATCGCTTTTGCCTGGCGCAGCTGCAGTCGCTTAGCCTGGAGGTTTCCCAAAGCACTATGCGTTGCAACAATCGCCCGCCCCACCAAGATATTTATTGGTGGATTTGAGGGTTACCTCACAGTGGCTTGCTTGGCTTCAGTTTCTCGATGGCAGAAGCACTTGCTATGACCTTCACCGAACGGCATAAGGCCAAGTGGACCAAGAGGCCACGCCTTGGCCCAGCTGCTCAGATTTCCCTTTGAAACTTGTGAGTTCTGTCCCGTCATCAAGTCAAATCCGGGAAGCTGTCCCCGTCGTGCTTGTGAAAAGGAAACCGAGGTGTCATTCAGCCACGGCCGCGCAAAAGCTACTGTGACAAACATGGCAAGTCAGTCATTCACTTCTGGCGGGAGGGGCCAAACTGTTTGCAACTTTGACCTGGAAATCCAGCCTCCCCCTTTCCGGTTGACAGCCGTCCTTTTAGGCGGACTGAAAGCAAAATGTTCAAAGCTAACCCTTGACGCGGATCAACGGGGATTTGGAAGGCAGTCCTTTGCAAGCGCAAGTGTGTGCACTTGTATGACTAGGAGCCTGGGTGACCTTGTTGTAAGCCGCTGCGGGTCCGATGTTTGAACACGTTTGAACACGTTTGAACACGTCTATCCCAGCGTTTGAACACGCCCCATGTTCGACAAATGGCCCCGAACAAACGACGCCTACAAGCCCAGGCTTCAGGATGACGGTGCCGCGAGACCTGGGATCGGAGCTCCATGGGCCCCAAAGAGCCTTCGGGACACCGGGAAACGGGACATGAAGTGACGCCTAACATTCAGGAAAACACGAGTTAAAGAAAAGTCCTCGCAAAATGACACACCCATATGGGTTTGTCTCTGCATAAGGGCCTCCAAAATTGGTGATTCCCTTTGAAACGGCCGCAAACAGGGACCACCGCTGCAAGGGTCCATCTGGGTTGCCCCCGCAGGCCAGATGGGCGAGTCGAGCTCTTGCTCGCATCCCGGGTGAGCTCTCTCGTCATCTCCCTCAGCGCCACATTGCCAGTTGCGCCCGAAAAGCCTCTTTGAATGAGGAAGCCCTAGCTCGGCATTCAGGGAATTCCGACAAACGATGATAATATGTTTCATCTAAGGTCTATGTGGTTGCCTGCGTCAAGATGCATAGACTGCTCTTGATCTGGCATCATTGATATTATGGAGTTGAGTTCACGGCTACTTGCAAAAAGCCGCGGCTACATCCCTCACAAATGTCCAAGCATATGAGGATGCTTGGTTGCTGTTGACCCCGCTGCGCAAAAACCAATCACCTGCTTTACACGGAGATCTTCTTAAAACAGGTGGTGTTGACTGGCCCAAAATGCATTCTTCAAGGGACCTTGTCGAATGCCTAGAAGCAAAATCCGAAACTTCAGGACCATGAGTCATGGTCTGGGCTGGCAGTTTGGAGATTTGAAGTGCTGCCCTTTCAAATTGCAGGAACTTGGATGCCCCGCGGCGGCTCTTCCCTGTGCATGTCATGGTGGTCGTCATTCACCTGAGCATGCGCTCCAAGTCTTGAGCAAAAGACCCGGCCCAGGCCTCTGGCCTCATTTTGAGACCCTTTAAGCCTATTGTTGAAAAGACCTTATTTTGTACAGCTTGGGTGGCAAATTCCGGACAGGGTTTGTTGTTTGACGCCTGAAGCTTGGTTAAATCCGGACGCTCCCCTTCTTGGGAAAACACAAGGGGCACCCCCAAAATGCAAAATGCGGACAACATATTGGGATCCAGGGTGGGGGTGCCAAATGTAACCCCACGCGTTAGCAGGTCAAGCAATTTGCACGGATAGATCTCAAGCCATCACCATCCTGAAGGGAAAAAGAAAGGACCGTTCGTACGTCGCAGGTCATTTTGTCCGCCAGCCTGTTCACCAGAAGTTCAGTTTGCTTGACATTGAAACACACAACAAAGCGTTGACCAGAGATATAGCGTGTGAGGATATGAATTATGGACCAACCTAGTGCGCCGAGAGACAAATCCATCTGTGAGTTGCAGTGTCAACCCTTAGATCCGTTGCAGTTGTTGGGTTTCGCTGCTGAGATGATTCACCCCTTGTCTTTCTACGGAATTGCGCTGGCCAGTATAGGCAAGCAGCGAAATCCAGGCAGTTGGCTCACCAGTTCCCATTCTGTCAGTTAGGAATCCTTGAGCCGCGATGTCCATGTCAACTTTGAACCAATCAAGAGGACCATACTGCTCAGGGGTGGTTCCCCTTCAAAGTATTGGGACAACGTGTATTTCACGGCTCCTCTGCTCTCCGGATTCCAAAGTTGACACCCACTGGCGCTTGGAACGCTCAAATTTGCTCATTGGATGGAGAGCAAGAGCCGAGGCCCGAGCCTTGAACCAGCACTGGTTGTTGAGGCGGTCCTGGCCCGCCACCATTCCCCAGCTCGCCTTGTCCGCCTCCACCGCCTCACGAAGCTCGGAAGAGCGCAGTGAAAGGCCCAAGTTGGGCAAGCAAACAGCCGCCGAGATCAACGAAAGAAGAAAATAAATGCCACGATGCAACCAACCCTTTGGTGGGCCCCTTGGTTTGGAGAATGTATACTATGGACCTGGCGACCTCCCTCTTTAGCTTGGTTGATGCGTCCTCTCTTGGCTTGAGCATGTCCCTGCATGCAACGCGCGGCCTTGGAATCATCCACACTGCAAAGAATGGTCTCCGTGCCAGCGTAGAAGTACTGGAAAACCTTGTGCAGCGGGTAGCAATGCCCGTAGCCTGTGCGCGGGCACGCCCTGTCCGGCTCAAGAGAATGAGAACCCATACTTCGATTCTCTGCACACACGTTCAAAAATTTATTGCTCGCTGTTTGCAGCGCTTGAACGCATTAACCTGGAATCTGCGATCTGCCAACCCGCAAGGGCAGCCCAAGCGAGACCGAGGCTGCGGCAAACGGTTGGCACCTGCACATTGCATCTCTTGAATGGCTCACGACAAATCAGCATCGACTTTTTGCACTGCTTCCTTGAATCGGCAACATCTTGCACATCGATTGACGCAGCTTGCGTGCCATTGCCATGAGGTACACTTCTGCATCATGTTGTCTCCCTCCTTTGCTCTTTGTCTCTCATTTCACTGCTATCCCCCCACAGCCGCTTGGCATCCACACCGTGGGCAGCACCAAGGGGTAGAAGGGGTTGGCGCCCTTGGTGTGGCGCCCCACGTGCTGGCCCGCCGCCAAGCCCGCGATGCCGCACCGCCGGTAGCAGCGCCTGTGGCATCGTTCGCTAAGGCCTCGAGCAACCTGCAAAATGGCTGCTAAGAAAAACATACACATTGTGTTGACAGCCGTAAGATGCTGAAGTCCATTTCTTTTGGCAGTGCAGCGAGGCCTTTCATAGAACGGGCAAGGACAATTGCTCTGGAACTGGCCACAGTCCAACATATACGTGCCCCAGCTGCGGAGAGCGCTGAAATGACTTGCTGTCCGCAACCCTCAAGGCTTGCTAAAGATTCGCCCCAAAAGCTGTCAGGAGTCCAAACCAAAACCCAACCTAGAAGCCTACCCAAGCCCGTGTTGGGATCTACATGTTTTGCCCGACTCCTTTCATTGGAAACGCACCCAAAGTGCCACCGAATGGCTGAAAGGAGTAACTTGGACACGCCTCACGAAGGGAAGCAAGTGGGCACTGTGACACCACTGGCTGAACACCTGGCGCATTCCGCGGAACAGGGATGGAGGGGGTGGGGAGATCTTCTTGACGAACTTGTGCGCTTAGGTGCGCTTAGGCAAATGATTCCAGGCCAGTCCAGGAACTAGGACTTGATGCTGGGTTCTTCCGGGAACTTCTCACATGGGATGCTTCCAATGCACAGGACATGAACTACCACCGATGTAGACCAAATGATGCTCTTTTGAATGCTGCGTAGTCACAAACATTGACCTATCAAGCGCCAGGATTCAGCGAGGTTTAAGTGTGGAATTGCAAATGGAGCAGCCGAAGCATCCCCTGCCAGTGGCCAGTGACGAATCTACGCATCTCTGCCTTTTGCGCCTGTGTGGCCTTTTGGTTTGCAGGTGCTAGCCTCCTCCCCCCCTCAGCTTGCCAATGCCTTCTCAAATTTGGGGGGGGGGTTGGGGGGGGGCGGGAAACTTGCTCAACCTCACTTCGCGCACCTGAAGTCTGGTGGCAATGGAGCAAAGGGGAAACATGCCAACGCGATCTGTTCGGAATGGAGGCCCTCCAAATGAGCCACATACCCTTCAAGTAACATGGAACCTGACAGGATGTCCCTTTAAAAGCACAACTAGCTACCGGCTTTTGCCTCGAAGTGATGCTTGATGCCCAGCGGGGAGTCACAGCCGTTGAGCGCGCAGCCAACCTGCGGGGAGGTCATTTGTCGCTTGCACCAACTCACTTCCATGGATTGGACAACAAAATGTCAGAGAAAACAGGCACGCACAGAGTGTTGGATGCAGGACTTAACACTGTGCACATCCATAGGCTTTGGCTCCTGCTATTTGACGCCAATCAGTTTTTCACCCACAATGGACTTCTCGCCACATTCTGCTTCCAAGGGTAAGTGTTGAGAGGGTACCTAAAAACCTAAAAACCTAGTCTCAGGGACTCTTGGCCTGGCCAGGTACCCAAAAAACGAAAAGAAATCTTTCGCGGTTTCATCCCCAGTTTCATTGGTAAAGTCAGAAAGTCGCAGCTTCTAAGGACTAGTGTAGCACGCCAAATGCGTGTCCCAAGCTGGTAGTGCCAAGCCAGTACGCGAAATGCACTTCCGCAGCTCCAGCTGGAAGTCGCAACTTTTCACTTCTACACTGACTAGCACGGAGCTCAGAAAGTACTCCCCCTTGCAAAGCCTGCGTTTTCGGGCGCGTAGGGCCACACTCACACACACACACACACTTGGAGCACGAAAAGCAGGCAAGCAGGGTCTCAAGAAGGATTTTAATCAGCTATAGAAGAAAGGCTCAACAGAAAAAAAAATGCACTGTTTTCACATGCCACTGATTTCCAAGATGCAGCTACGCAAAGCTTTCGCGAAACGAAAAGAGTTACCTTCGCAACTCCATTGCCCGGAGGTACCGCAACCAACACCTATGGTCACCCGTGGTCACCGAATACTAAACTCCTTACAAGGACCTCTGGAACGACTCCCATCTATATATATATATATATACATATAAATACTACACACATCCATTGATTTGTTATGTTTTTTGTGTGTTGTCCTTTTTGTCTAAGGACCCCTGCCAAAGGCAGGGTACACTAAGGGCTGCCGTCAAGCCAAAGCGTGCTGAAGGCAGGGCCACTGGCCTGGGCATGGGTCAGGTACTTCTTGGAGGTTGGTTGCAGCTTGGAGCCTGGCGATAAAACCGCAATGCTCAAGCAACAGCCACTCATGTAAGTCAGTGCAAATTGCGTATACGAGATTGCTGGATGGGGGTTTGAGATGGTTTGAGCAAACATATCAATGTCAATTCTAGAAAAACATTCAGCAGGATAAGTAGAAGTTGCGAGCCGTAAGTATCTAAGCAAGTACCTGAAGCTGGGAGAGCACATGCCCGCGTCCCGGCTTTGTCGATGGTCCAGGGTCCGGTCGTCGTCGGTGCTGATGACTGAGTCCTGCAGGAATTGCAACAGCTACAAGCCTGGTTCCGAGGTGTCCAGGTATCAGGCTTTTCTGCTCTGAAAGAAGCAATCTGATCGACGCGCAACCCGGATTGCAGAATGGCGGCAAAACACGGGACGCCTGGGCACCACTTACCAGGTACTAACTGACTTCTGTTGCATTCACAAGTGGCAGGAGTGTGTTCATGCCAAATCCTCATCAGGTTTGACACGGCAAACGCCAATGCCTTCTCATTCTTAGCCAATCAAGCCAAAGAGTCGGCCTCAACTTGGCAGCTTGAAAGAGTGTGCACCCCCCCCTCGGTGCAGTCGCTGCAATGAATGCAGCCCCTGCGCAGTTTCGACAGGGGGCTCTGCTTTTAAACTATGAACCGCCCAACGCGCCAAATCGGAGCTCCTTGGACTGAGCCCTTTGCAGGCTGGCACTGGGGCTCCTGTGGTCGATGGCTGACCCCCTGAAGCAAACAGCGGCCCTGTTGTGTACAAAAGCGTAGGGTTTCCGGGTGTCCCTGCTAGGATCAGAGGGCCTTTCACATTGACTTCTTGGCGGTGCGACAGGGACCAAAAAGCCTGGAAAATGACACAAAAAACGTGGATTGTCCTCTCTCAAATGGGCAGTTCCAAAACAAGGTCTCTCTTCACAGTGCAAGTGAGTTGGCCTTACGTTCTGTAAAACAAGTGGAGTGCCATCTGACACCGCGGCAGCCCTAGAACACCGGCTAAAATGACCCTGACCAAGCGGTTGGTAGCACCTGTCGGTTCCTTCACTGCCTCGGTCGGATGATGGATGGTGTCAAGGTTTCTTGCCACTGCTCTCTATCGAAGTGATTAGTTTCAGCTTCTCGCCCTCGTCCGAAACAATTTTAAGATAGTTTTGGCAGGGTAGCCAAATTGATCTTTCGGGCAGCGGCGAGGATCACAGCCTCGGAAGCTAGCATGCAGATACATCTTGTCTTCAAAACAGGCCAAGCAGCTGCTTGGCCTATTTTCCAGGAATTACCCGCAGGCAACGTTGCATGCAAAAACCTCCGATGGCAATTTCAATGTTATTCAGTGGTGTTGAGATATTGTCCGGCCCCCTAAACCGCTGGTCATTCGCTTTGGGCCGGACATTTCTTCGTAGGCGACCGTCCATGTCACACCCAAATGAGCCCAGAGAGCCGCCAAATCTTTTGATCTGCGCGGAGCCGATCGCGAAGGGCGCGCTTGGGGTTGAAGGGCCTGAGTTCTCAAAAGGTATCAAAAGGGGCGCTGACTTCTGGGAAGAAACGAAAGGTCAACAGTGGGAGCATCTCAGAGACAGCTGGTTGCTACGAGGGGCTTCCTAGGCCTTTCAACTGCACATCTGTGAGACTCGATTGCATCCTAAGCCGATGCTCATCGGCGGAAATTGGAGGCATCCTTCTTACGACGGAGGCGCTCCATCACAGTACCCTCCTCAGTCTCCTCCTCCAGCCTCAGCTCTGGAGCTACAACGCGCTGAAAGGCTGGACATGTGCCCCATGCCTCCACAGTACTCTTTAAATCCTTTTGCCCAATGACGCCATGGTCTCCAACTGGCAAAAGGAAACCCGAATTTACCCAGCCCCCCCCTTTTGCCGGAACAGTCAACGTACCATGACCCCCTCAAGTTCGCTTGGCTTTCGGCCCAAAACCGTCCCTGTCACCCACCGGTTGGTGCGCCGGGCCCAGCCACCCGTGCGCCGGGCCCCGGACTCCTCCAGGTCGATGTTCTGCAGATCCGGGCCCTCCCCGTAGATCTCCTCCAGCGCCGCCATGGCCACCTCTGAGGGCATCACGTACTCCCCCCCCACCGGGGTGGGCCGGGAGTACGAGAGGAACTCGTTCACCCAGGCGTCGTCCTAGAAGAAAATGACAAAAAAGAAAGAAGAAAAAAAGGAGAAGCCGGCCATCTGGAAGTGCAACCCCAAAGCAGGGGGAACTCTTTTGGGGGATTTGTTCTTTTTGGGCTCCATGTTGCCCAGTCGGTTTGGAGGGGTTTGGAGGAGGGCAAACCTGTGGCAAAAGTGACTGGTACCTCCTGTGGCAAAAGTGACTGGTACCTTTCAGGCTTGAATCGCGCAGGGCAAACAGCAACGTCACCCCATGAGTGCCATTGCCTTCAACGTATCACATTAGACATGGGCTTGGAAATGGAGGCCGCAGTGCCTGTCTCGCCTACTTGGCACATTCCAATTCCGCCCTGAAAGTAACATCATGCAACTGTGCAACGCATGGTCCTCTGCAATCTTGTTCGCCTGGTTCCTCGGGGGCAAGCAAGATCGAAAGAATGTGATGGCCGGTGTTTGTGACCAAAGGATGTTTGACTCCTGGTAAATATACACATATGGGTGTGCGTTTTTCTGAGGAGCCTCTCTTAGGTTAGATTGAAGGGAAACCAAAAGGAGAACCACAGCTTTTGCCCCTCCCCCCGGCCATACACACTGGAAGCTCCAGCTCGCAAATCGTTGCTTGCTCTAAGTCGATAATGCTACTTCTCAGTGCCAGTGTAGTATGCAAAGTACCTCTCGGTGCTTCCTTGTACAGCCGATCGCTCGCTTTAAACTCTTGATCGTTCCGCCTGACCAGCACCCATTACATCCGCCGACGCGCAAAAGCCCTCATCCCTAGCAGCCAAATCCCTCCAGTACCCTTTCGAACCACAAGAGCACTTCCTCACGACACATTGCACTATCATAAAAACCGAAAAGCAAAGCCTTCGCACCGCAAGGTGGTGCCCCTGCACCCGAGGGGCATCGAAATTCCCGATAAAATGGGCCTCTGGAGTCTTCCAAAGTTGGCATTACCAAGTAATTCCCTCGGAACACCCCCGAAGGCCGCCCAACAAACATCGGCAGCCAAGCCACAGCTGCTTCTTGATAAGCCTGTTCGACAGTTGTCTCACACCGACTTCTCGAACGCGAGCCACGTTCTTCATGATCTTCTCCTTCTTCCTTGTGGCTGGGGATGCTGAAGTCGATTGGGATTCACTGGAATGCACTGGTATCATGTATATATATATATATATGTGTGTGTGTGTGTGTTTTTCTCTCAAATTTCTGCAGGAAGAGTTGGCAAAACTGAACAAACGGGCCAGAGCTCCCCGCAAATGTTCCTGCACGGCATGCTTTTGAACCAAATACGTGGTGCTGGCAAATGAGTAGAATCAAGCTGGAACCAGTGTCATCTTTCTTTAGCCAAGCTGGGCTATATTCTCTCTCTCTCTCTCTCCAGCATCGTCGAGCAGGTCTCGCTCGTCCCAGATGCCGTGGCTAGTTCCTTTGACCGTTCCCCTGCGGGCGAGCTGCGTCAACCTCTTGAGAGCTGACATCTGCACGCGGCTGATCGGCCGATGATCAGCTTGCCAGGTGCCCGTGATGAAGCATACACCTCAAAGCGCGCAGTTGGAACCTATGCCGTACGCAAAAGGACGCGATAACACATATGAATGTAGGCAGGGGGTCCTCATGCATCAAGGGGCCCTTTTGTGCAACTCCCATCCTTTCCCTTGGCCAAATGGACATTATGTAAAACCAGAGGGGTGAGGCGTCGGTATAGGGTTGCCTGTCAATTGATGCGACACGTGTGCCCTAAGGCGTCAAGGAAGAGGTTGCAAAATCTGGTTGCTGTGGCTGTCCCGAGGCCTCTCTTAAGTTTACGGCTTGCAGGCTTCAGATGAAGCATCACCCCAAAGAAACGCCAAATAGGCCTAAAACCATCACAAAAAAGGAATGGGCGTGCTTTTTGTGAGAGTACACGTGAAAGATTGGGCCAAAAGGAACACCATACCCTAGGGTCCCCCTATTTTGATACACCAACGTGTATACAGCTATTTGTTGATGAGTTTGGGACAGCAAACCTGTCATGTATTGATTCAACAAACCGTTGCAATGCTACACACGTCACCCTACGTTCTTGTCGAATATGGCCCCGTGATCTGATGTAGAATCCACGCAATGCAGCATCAAGTCATTCGTCCCAGCCGCTATCAGCTCCTACCCTGTCCACTCGCCTGTGTGCAGTTCACCTATGTGCAGCTCTGCTGTTTATGGATGTTGCAAGCCTTGCAGGCTACGTGACCCACTTTTTAAACATGTTGCAGCTTGCCGCCAGCAACGCGATTTTGACAGCGAGGCTTGCAGGAAGCAACAGTGGATAGGTGGTCGCAAACATAGCTCAGATATGTTAGGACCTGTCCTGCAAGCTTGGCAGTCAGTCATTGAAAGGGGGTTCGTTTTCCTCTAGAACTTGCATATGGCACGCAAATCCAGCATGCGAAGGCCACAACTGCTTGTAATGCTGATCTAGCTTGATAAATTTCCCAACACATCCCCTTTATTGTGGTTGAGACGGCCGTGGTCAAGACTAGAAGGCAAAGGAAAATCACGCCTCGGGTCACAAAGGGCTTTGAAAGGGGCTTGGGTTCATAGGGAAGAAAGCGATCTTGGACTGTCTCTGCTGTCACCACATCGCCCACAAGCATCCCAAAGGAAAACTCAAACGGCGGGCCTTCGCTTGGTTTGCTTGTCAAGGGAAAGGTGCGCTGGGTTGTTGAAAATGGGAAGCATCCCTAATGCTACTCCATCTTCCGTAGAGGGAGGAAAGCCACTAGGCTATGGATGTGGTCATTCTTTCACTATTTAATCAAAGTCAGAAACTGTTGTGGTTTCCCCTTAACCTACCGCTTGGGGGTGACTTTGATAATGGTAGAACAATGGGGGCCAGTATGGCATGAGGAACTTGTTTTTTTTCTTTTTCTTTTTTTTTTTTGGGGGGGGGGCTGGGGGGGAAGGGGGAGCATTTTTCTGGCGACAACACCGGTCAAGCGCCAGGTGGCATGGCACTAGCGCCAGCAGCACCCAGTGCCACCGTGTGCCTGGCCGCATGCGGCTATGGTTTGAATTGGCAAACACCTGGGCTTGTCTCTGAAATGGGCTCATTGGCTCGTTGGTTTTTTTGTACAATGGTCCCTGCCCAACTGCTCATCCTTGAAACACTCAGGTCTGCCAGGGGAGATGTGACAAGCTAGCTGTGTGGAGCAGCTAACCCATGCGGGATACTCGACATCCAACAGAAACCATCCACGCACGTATTTAGGACCAGGGCTATTTTGACTAGTAGCTGAGCTGTTTAAGCCATGAACCTGGCCATTTCATTAAGCAGAAGCTGGCACAGTGCTCATGACACCACCCGAAGCATCAAGCAAAGGACAGGCGGATGCACCGTGCCTCTTTTTGTTCACCAAATAACTTACTTCACCTTCACGGTTGATACAACAGACTCTTTTCTCTCTCATAATATGGCAGCCTCTAGAACCTCCAGCCATGGCTGTGGCTGGCAGCATCTTGAGCCAGCTGGTATAATTACGCGGCAGTTCCAAGCTGGGAGGTGAAGTTGGGTCAGGAATGTCTGGAGAATTAAGACAAGGAACACCAATCCTCTTGTTGTTCTCCTACAATAGTAAAGCAAATTGGCAGGAATTCTCCATTTGAGGCATTTTACATGACGCCTTAGAGGTCTCATGAATCAGCACATCAGAATGGACTTCGAGTCTCAGGCGTGGGCTCCAACAAACAACTCCAGAATGGAATGCCCTCCCCAAGACCCCCAAGGAGATGAGCACAAGTGGGACAGCTTGAAAGCGGCCCGATTGCACAACCGGGTCTACCGCGTCCTGCCAGCGCTGCTCAGTAACACAGGCCTCGACGTGGCAAAGAACCCAATGTCCCAAACAGTTCCGGAGAGCCTGAAAAACATCACATGCTCCCTCTTGCACATGCGCAAAACGCAACATCGAACTTGGCAACCCCGTGAAGGCAATGGTGGCAAGGACAATGTTGGTGGCAAGGACCTCGCTTGACCTTGACACATTCGCAGCCAGCCGCGGCTTCGCGCCTCGCCGCCTGTGGCGCGAGGCTCCCCGCCTCACCGGAGCTTCAAGCGCCAAGGAACGCTTACCGTAGCAACTTGGCGTTACAGTACTACAGGCAGGTAAAAACCGTAGCCAACATAAGTCAGAGCTTTTAAGTTGCGAGTTCCCTCGGCCTTCAGCGGTCAACTGGGTCAAGCCGGGCGATAACGGAAGCTCAGCCCAACTCGCCCAGGCCTCGCGCGGCTGCAGTTTGCTCTCCGTGGCGGGAGCTTGCGCCCTTAGCGTGCCAAGGGCTCAAACCAAGGGCGCCAACACCACGATCCTACCAACAAAGCTGACAAAGCCGGCGGAGGAAAATGACAAGCTAGTGACAAACTACAAGCCATAGTTCAAACGTCTTCCAACATGGGTGATTAGCCCAGCAGCCAGCCAATTTCTCAAATATGAGTTGGCTGGCTTGTGAGTGAATTGGCAAACTGTCAGCCAATTAGGCTAGCTAGCATCTTCGCTTGCTCCATAAATAGTGTTGGTTCACAGAAGGACTAGGACTTGATTCTGAAAAACATAGAGGCCCAGGCGGCAGCGGCAAACGCAGCACGTCCAGAGCTTCGTCGTGGAGGCCGCTAGTGAGGCCGTCCCCGAGCATGCCTTAGGCCCATTTCCCAGCGAAAAAGACCCTCGAGAGGAACGAAAGCAACTTGCCATGGAAAAACTGGCCCAATCACACCCCCTTCCCTCCGAAGGCGCTTTCGCGACCGCGCGAAGCTATATGTTGACACTAGCTGGACAATCAAAGCCACTTTTTGAACTCGAACCCTTCGCAACGCTTTCCGGAAAAATGAAAAGTACACCTCTTTTGATGCTGCTGCTGCTGCCGCTGGACATGATGGACGCTGAGTAATCTTGGCTGCCCAAGTCAGCTAAAGTGCCTGTGTCCAAAGATCTGCTTATTGTGATTTTATCCACACCTGTATGCAGAGCGAATGTGAACGAACAAAAACAAGCCAAGAACAACTATGATGAATGAGAGAAGCTCTGTCTTTCTAGGTTCCGGATGGCTTAAGCAAAGGATAACTAGGGCAGCACCACATCGATCCCAACTGCTGCATGAATCTTCCGCCTGCGAATCAGCAGGCAACCCCCGTAATGATTTTCAGTTCCTCTATGAGCGAACGCTCATGGCTCCTATGCAAAGACCCTGACAAGCAGGATGTTTCGTAAGGTGAACGCAGGGCGCGTGCGCCCGCCTCGCAGCACACTCGTCATCAGCATGCCATGGCGGCTCCGGTTATGCCTGGGATGAAATTCGCAGAGCTCGGCCATCAAGCGACCGAAGGGAATTTGTGGAGTCCAAGCACATCAGAGACATGTATATAAGTGGTGGAGAAGAAGCCCAAACTATCCCAAAAAGGCCTGAATCCGCAAAACAGTTGGCACAAAATACTTCGTGTGGTGCTTGGGGATCTGCTGAATCAATAAATGGTGTTAGTGCATGAGCCAAACATGTATAACTTGTTTTGGCCGGAGCGAGTGCAGCCAAGTAGGGACCGCCTTCAAAGCCTGTGTGCAGCTGCTGCCGTTTCCGCGGGCTCTCCGACATGTTCAAAGGTGAAGACTTGCAAGCCGACATAGGTGCTGGCTGACATGTATCAATGAATGATACATTAGACCCGCCAAGCGCACGCATCACATCCCGGGTGAAGAACGACATTAACATCTGATTGCTCATTGCTGCTTGCTCTTGGTTCCTCGGCTCTGATAAGTTGTTGCTGGCTGGTACGGAAGCCATGGCCAGCATGGATGCAGGAAGCCACATTGCCCCAACCACAAGTGAATGGAACATGTCACGATGAAAGTCTGAGGCTTTCAAGCTTCCCTTCCCTGAGCCCCCGGCATGTCCATGCGATGGAACTCGCGGTACCATGGCCTCATGGTAATCCAGCTGAACCCATCACTTCCTGCAAAACATCGGAAAACGCGACCAGGCACTTGGCACACAAAGCAACCCCACCAATTGTATGGGTCGCACACTCTGGAGCAAGGGTGACGTATAGAGACAAGCCTGCTGGACCTCATAGTGAAACGCATCAAGCTTGAGGTGTTGGAAGTCAAATTGCATTCGGCACTGGTCCCAAAATATGTGCGCAAATGCGTATGGCCAATACTAGGGTCCCGTAGGAAGGCGGGCCTTCTTGGACCCCCTCGGGAACATCGTACTGTTAGGCATGGTCATTTCATCTGCACATTCTTGCATATGCGAACGTGAATGCAATTCAAGGTGTAAATCGATGCGCCTTGCTCGCCATGAGCATGCTCAATGGGTCTTCCCCCCAGAAAAGTGAAAAGATACTTCCGCGTGTGGCCTCGCCGCCGTACATACCAGCTCGACCACCGTTGGAGGGATTTCTTTTCCAGGCCAAGGGGCATCAAAGCATCCTCCCACTTTTGGCAGGCTGGCTCCGGCAGCTGTTGGTATGCCGCAGGGTCGATGCCTGAAGTTGGGCCCTCTCGGTTCCGTCTCCAACCCCAAAGTTCTCCGTTTCGTTTTCTTCTGTCCAGGCTAAAGCCATGTCTTGGCAATCCACGTTGGAAGCCATACCAGCTCTATGTGTCCCCATTGTCTGCCATGCTGGAACCATGAATTGTTTTTTTGTCGGTGCTCAACTCCACAGGTAGCTTGAGAACCCGCTGAGGCTCAACACATCCCGATATGAAAATGAAAAGAAACATATCCCGGAGGAGTCTGACAGGCACTGCCAAATGCAAATGTTTAAAACCGCTTGGACTTGCCGAGTTGCTGAAGTGCAGACGCAAGACCTGAGAGAGAGAGAGAGAGAGAGGGAGGGAGGGAGGGAGGGAGGGAGGGAGGGAGGGAGAGGGAGAGAGAGAGAAAAAATAAGAAAGAATATCAAGCATTGACACCAGCTGGCATGACACCAGGTGAGGCAACATGCTCTGCACTGCCAATGTACCAAGAAAGCTAGCCAAAAATCACTTGTTGGAGCCACAGTTTTCGGGGGAGCCATGGGTTGCCGTTCCTGTCGGTGGCCTTAGCCGATGGTCACGAGGGCACGGTTAGGCGGTATAGATCCGAACCAGCTTCTACAAGCCTAGCCTTTCGATGCCCAGTGAGTAGGGCAGCCAAAGTCTCAGCTGCTCATCCGGCATGCGACCCCATGTTCAAGGGGAAAAGCGGTCAAAGCAAAAAAGGGCAACTTCTGGTATGAGGTGTGTAGGGGAATGAAGCCAGGGCTGGTGCTGGACCATGTTGTTGCCTTGTTTATTCTGTTTCTGAGTGCAATATGTCTTCGCGTCAGCACGCCGACCTCGTGCTGCTGCGTGGCTTTCCCGTTGGCTCAGTCCTTTTGTCCCTTTCTGGGCGAGCGTTCAGCTGTTGACCTCTCTCGCGTTCTGTATCGTGGATCGTCTATGTCTTTTCTCCGCCTCTCTGGCCCTTGTCCAAACTCATCCTGTGCCCTCGTAACTCTTCGGTGTCCTTGTTGGGATTCTGCACCTGGGCTGCTTCGCTGACCTTCTGGAACGGATTGCACGCAGTGTACTGGGACTTCTGTGGCCACACCGTTGTGTTGCTTCCTTGCTAGATGCTTGCAATTGCTCAGTTTGTTTATGCCTCGCTTCTGCCTGGACGCCCAGCATTGCAGACCCTTGCGGTAGCTAACACTCGAAACGCAAATTGCACCAAACTCAAGGCACCGATTCAAACCACAAGCATGTGGTTGCCAAAAAAGCAACAGCAGCAAACAACAGCTCGGAACTCTTGAAGGACAAGCATCTATCCGTCGCCCTTCTTTATCCCAACGTGTGTTGAATAATTAACTCGGTGAATGTGGTTGGCTGCTGGAAAGCGAGTAACGCGCAACCTCAGAAAGTCCATGGAAGTCCGCGAGACATGACTGGAGCCCTTGACCATTGGATTGCAAACAAAACGTCGGAGAAATCGACAAAACAAATCCTGCAGGAAGCAGCGGAAAGGCACAGCAGCCTGCTGGATAACACTGCCAGAGTGCTTGGCAACTTGCCCGAGGCAACTCGTTCCATGGCATCGTGCGCTCGGTCTGAGTTGCGCACTGCCTTGGCGAGGTTCAAGCCGCCGGACCTGCGCCCGAACCAAACTTTCTGGCCAGGCGTTGCCGAACTGCACAAAAGGCTCTCTACGAACAAGCCCAGAACCATTGTCTCCGGATCCTTCAGGTGGGATTGGCATCCATCTGTTGGGTGGGCCTTTGGCCACCCTGGTGATGGTTTCCTATGGGTCGTTCCGCTCCGCTTTAGCCACTGGTTTGGCTCATGCCCAGGCTGCTGTGCTCTCACCTGGGGTCCCTGGCATGAAGGCCACAAAGGTGTGGAGCAGGTCATACCTCAGCTCTGGCTTTTGAGTAGACTCAAACTTCCCATAGGTGTCCAACTTGGGAGGAATATCCACCTGATCCACATGGCTTGCTAAACCGAGGAAGCATAAAAGCCGTCAAACCCAATCCAAACCAACACCTGCACAGAGCAGGCCAGGTTCTCATGCTTCCCCTTCTTGGTGGCTTCAACATCATCTGCTGGATCAGTGTCGCTTCCTTTTGGATGGATGCTGCTTAAGGGGACACTTTTCTCTCCCAGCGGCTCTCCGAGCGCAGAGAGCTTGTTCCTCAGCTCTGCCTCCCCCTCGCCGCCTGTGAGAAGAAACCGGGGGCGGGGGCGTGCTTGCGGCCAGGGATTTGGCCTTTTGGGGAATCTGTGTGTCGCAGGGGGGTAAACACCGGGTTTGCCCACTGATGCTACATCAGCACAGGCCCCCAGCGGCCGCATGTTTGTGATTGCATCGTTGTACCAAAGCGGTGCAGCACAAGCGGAGCCATGTCTGGAGGAGCAAAGTGAACCATGAGGAAAGTAGATGTGGCACCCCATGTAGGTAATCTGGTTTCGGACCCCAGCGGCCAAACAAATGATGAAGGCATGGCTGGAGACAAAACACAATCTAGGTGCAACAGCTGGGAGACAAACAAGGGACACCCATTGGGGAACCCATTTTCGGAACAGCCGAGCCGGGCATCAGAAAACGCACTCGAAGCTGGGAGACACATGGATGGAGATAATACAACGATTCATTTTGTGCCGGAATGAAGAGGCGGCCACGGATGTGTTTCCCCTGAATCGCGTGACAACATCAGAAGCCTCGATTGCATGGCTTTGTGCAGATCCCGAATCAAAACCACCATGGCAGAAAGGATCACTGAGATCACTGATTTCAACCAAACGCGAGTCGGCTTGGGACACAAGCGTCATGGCACTTTCATGATTCAGAGCTAGGGAGCAATCCGATCCCCCCACTGCTTCCCCCCCCCCCACAGCTGCCTGGCGGAGCGACAACGTCCCCTTGAGCAGATTTTCCCTGACCACAGGCAGCAATCAGCACCAGCCGAAAAGCGAAAACTTTTTGAGAAAATGAGATACCGTCAGTTTGCTCTGCAAAGCCCCAGCCCGTTTTGGGCTGCGTGATAGCCAAGCGACGCAATCACCTGAACTCCTTTTGAACTGGCCTGCTTTTCCTTCTTCCCCACCACTTGAGCTGTATGGATATACTGACCTGGGCAAAGGGTGTGCCCAAGCTCAATCACGTGACTTCATGCAGGCCGGAAGCCGGACATCCAACCTGTTGACATCACCCTTTGCTGAACTTGCTCAATTAGATACTCCTTTTTATTGGGTCCAAAGCCCGCATACTTAAACCAACTTGAGCCAGCCCTATCCAAAACACCAAAGAACCCAAAGAAAACTATGCAGATCCTGCCCCTAAGCGCATCGCATGCAGAGTGAAGAAAGATCGAGCAGCACAAGCTGAATGCAAATCACCCAGGCATCAAGACAGCGCACGCTGCCTCAGTGAACTCGCAGGTTTAAGCGGCAGTAGCAGCAGCAGCAGCAGCAGCAGCAGCAGCAGCAGCAGCGGTAGCAGCAGCGGTAGCAGCAGCGGTAGCAGCAGCGGTAGCAGCAGCGGTAGCAGCAGCGGTAGCAGCAGCGGTAGCAGCGGCAGTAGCAGCGGCTGAGCCGCAGTAGATACTGGTACCATAAGCAGTGCAAGAGAGGAACAGCCTGCTCAAGATTTGGATTGCAGCTTGAAAGCAGGATGGCGGGTTCAAGCACCAACTTCAACGGGCACGTAGGCCACGAATACGTGGCAACCTTCTGCAACCAAGAAAACCTTGGCTGCAATGAATTTCAACACTGTGCCACAATGCCTGAACGCACGCCCACACACAAACAAAAAACCTGGATCAACCTCAAATTTCCGAGCAAACTGCTACGCTGTGTCCTTCAAAAGCAACTCACCTAGCATTGCGCTCTTATCGTTGCCAGCTCAACCTCTGCGTTTCCTCTTTTTGGGTTCTTGCCGCTCTCCTCCCCTCATTTGTTCCTTGGACCCAGGGGCAACAACAAAGCGGGCGTCTTCGAAGGTCCGAGGCTTTGGCCACAGGAGCACTTGGACTTGGCGCCTTGGTTCCGCTCGGCGAGCTTCTCCCGCACCGCCGCGGCGGTGCCTAAATGCCGCCAAAAGGAGCCGAAACAGCAGGATCGCGCCAACCAACCCGCCAGCCAGTCGACCAATCGACCAAGTAGACGAACATGCAAAGCAAACAAACAAAGATAAACCAAGTAAATCAAAACAAAACCAACCCGACCAACCTAGCGCCCTGACAACCGAACCAACCAAGAAAATCGACCGTCGGCTTCCAACAGGGGATGGTCGTTGCAGATCTCAAAGGCCTCCCTCCCACAGCCCCCGATTGCCGCCTGCGAGGGATGTCGTGTTGTGCGACCAAGACCGCCTCGACTCGCTTTCCTGCCATGCTGCGTGCGGCCAAGGAAGGTGGGTGTCAGGGCAACCTCTGCAAGGATGAAGTCCCCGCATCCAAAACACGTAGGCCCCGACTGCATCTCCTTTCTGCTCTTCCAGGGTGCTGCTGGTCACAGCGTGTGAACAAATCGGTCGAAAGTGAAAACACTGGTGGCACAAGGACTTGCCAGGCTATCAGCAAGTTACCCTTTCCACATGTCTGCCTGTGATCCTAAACCACAATTCGAGCAATTGTCAACCGTGTTGCTTGTTGCTACCTGTAGCCCCGGGCGCTTCCCGTGCCTCTTCCTCGTCTGAACCGGCCTGGCGCGACAGTGCTCAAACGCTTCACGTCTTGACATGGCTTAGAGGTAATAGGTCGCTTTGAAATGGAACCGCAGGCACCATACAAACCTGAGCCCCCCTGAGCTAAGGTCCGAATGTAGCCTTACCAAGGCTTACTGAGCCTTAGCAAGCCTCATTGAGGCTTGCCAAGGGGTAGTCCTGAGAGGGGCCAAGAGTGTACCAACGAGGTCATCTGGCCTGACATGCATTCAGACCTGGTGCAAAGGGCCTGGCCATCAACCTTACGGTCGCTCACGCCTCCTTTTCTTGCTATTCGGTGAGAGCTTGCCAAATGAGGAGTGCAAGCTCATGAGCAGAAGGCGTTGGGTGGTGAATGTGTCAAAGGCCACAAGCCGCGGTGAATCACCTCAAACAGTGCACTCGCACGATGTTGGGCTTGAGCCCTGCCAACAGGTATTCACAATTCAGCCCCGCGCCTCGGACGGCGCTAAGCTCTCCAACCCCGTATCCATCGTGGAGAGAATCGACCTTGCTGCCAGAGTGGCAAAGTCAAACAAAAACATGGCCCTTCCAGGTGTCGCAAATTGGATTCAAACTTGCCAGGCATGCCACTCGAAACCGAAAAGCCACAGCGCGCAACCCCTCCCCCCACGGAACCGTACCAAGATCCGGGTGAACGGCAATTCACGCGACCCTCATGCAACGAGCAGCTTCATGACTGGTACAAGGCAAGGCGACACTCAAGTCTTGCTACCGTCCCTCTGCGAACAGCCAGGCTCCCCCGACAGAAGTTTGACTTTTTTGCGTGGTGAGATGTACGTTGTTGGACCCCCAGGCCAAATGGCTAGGAACCCACGCACCTGCAATAACTGCACTCAATAAATGCATGTATTTAACAAGTAGACTCCATTCACAAAAGCCTTGAACGGCAAGTCGCATCACGGAGCTTCCGAAGGAGCGAAGTGAATTAGGGGCCTCTTTGCAGCAGGTATTGTTCTCCCATGCCATGGACAAATAATTGTGAGTTTCCATAGCGCACCGCCTCAGCATTGGCCATTGCCAAGGCAGAAAGCAAAGCCTAAGGGGTTTTGGACACTGCTGATGGCTCATCGCCTGAATGGAGGAACTGCCTTGAGAGGGGTTATGCTGCTAGGAGGACAGCAGTTAGAATGGCACTTGTCTCTTCCTTACAATGTCACACCAGGGGATCCGCAACAAAAAGAGGACGCCACGCCATCCAGTGCACAGCACCTGCCCTTTGGGTGATCCTCCTCGGGCCTGCCACATGGAACATTCGATCTGTGGCCACGACCCCTTGTGAGTCCCGGTGCTTGATCCTGGCAACGCGAGTGCCGAAACCTGATTTGGCCATGGGTCAAAAGCCCGTACCCCCAGTGAACATCTCAATGCCCACTAAAATGCCAATCTGGGTGGTGCACCGACCCCAAAATGGTACCATTGGTTCTGACCCACAGCCATTTGGGCACGCAGAAGCAATCCGGGTTGTTCAACGCAGGGTTCTGCACGTAAAACTTCCCCTCATGGCTACTTCCACATAGCCTTCAGAACTTGTGACACAAATGAGTTTGCAGGAATCCTCACCCAGCAGTGGAACCAAAGTCAGAACCTGCACCGATGTCAATGTCGTCCCTGCCTGAGCCCTTTACTCTCAGCCACCCGCATACCGTGCCCCCGAAAAGCCCATGCTACCTGTTTCTTGTCCTCGAACAAAGATTGATGTTGCTCCTTTTGGCTTCCCGCCAAAACGAGGAGAACGCTCCAACTCCGCCCCCGGGCTTTGAGGCGCGGGCGAGTGGCTTTGTCAGGCTCGTCCGCATCTCGGATGGAAGGTGGAAAAGGGTAAGCTATGCAATACCGACTCTTTTTTACCGTGGATGCGCGAAATCCTGGTCACCAGCTGGGATGATGACATTGACTGCCGGGGTAAAAAGCAAAGTTGCCATCATGGGTGGGCTAGGCTCCAAATCGGGACACGAATCCATCCGCCTTGGATTCGTAATGTAGCAAGAAACGCATGCTGTGTTACCCACAAAGATAGGAAGTTCCGGCCATACTTGGTCTTTGTGAGTGGGCCCACCTCACGTCGCCCCCGAGCCCCGAGCCATCATCGTGCGTGCTTGGCTTGGGTTTCTTCTCGCGGCCCGGAGCCTCAAAGACTTATGCAACATCCCTGTACCCCAGGGCTGGGGAATGACGGTGACCCATCGCAAGAAGGGAAAACTGTGGCATTTGACAAAGCTGCGCCGCTTTCACCAAGGATCTTTTCATGGGGGGGGGGGCCTGTGTGTTCTTGATCAGGCAAGCCCTTGTTCCTTGCTCCTATACCTCCACCCGTCATCCATCGCGACCCAAGTCCAAACTTGCAAATCATTACTATTGTGTTAAAGGGCGCTTTTCCACAGCCTTCTCCAAGCCCAGCCTTCCCACACCTTGTTCGCCGGAAGAAAACTTCAAAACTGAGAAAGCCAGCTTCAAAGTTTGAAAAGAACACTTTACAATCTGTCAACCATTGGATGTTGTCACAAGGAAACTAAGAAGACCACGCCTTCAAAAAACTTAAACAAAACTCTCCAAAAATGCAAGAACCCGGACAACAAATGTGTAATATGAACTTTGCTTGTTTTGTTTTGATTACTTTGAAAAGTGGACAGCCTTCTTAAATCAATGCTTCCCAAAGCTAAAACATCCCCTAGACATTAGCACTTTTTCTGCAATCCGTTTTTTGACATTTTTGAGCCTCTGAGAAAGGCAGTGTTAAAGGACTTACAACATCTTCGAAGAAAGAAGTGCAACCATGAAATGTTGGCAAAATCAAGGCAGAATGACAAAAGCCCTTACAATCTCTTCGAACTTTCCAAAATTGAACGGATGTTCTGCGCAAGAACAAGTTCTTCAGACAAACAATGGTTTGTGTCGAGCAGCTTAGTTTGAGTTTTTTGGTGGAACTTTCAAGTTGAACAAAGAAGCAGCTGTGTGCAATGCTGCATTTTTTGGATTTGTTTGTCTTCCCAGAAAAACCATCTATTATTTGCATAGACTTTTTGCACTTTGGTGCCCTTGCATTGAAAAACACTCAGGGTTGCAAAACTACCAATCTTGCCAACCTACCCCAGCTTCAACACCAAGACTTCGCGCACTGGTTTGCAAAACTGCAAATTTGCAATGGATATGGGGGCAAATTTAATTTTTCCGCAAAACATCGAGCTTTCTCCCAAAGGATTTTGCCTCTTCTGGAAGCTCAGAACAACCAGAATGGGCTGCTTTCAGTTTTCCAATGCTCCTGAATATGCTCTGCCTTACAGGTAACATTGAAAATGACCACAGGAATGTTTTGTTTTTCTCGTTGTGATTACTTTTGAAAACGGTGGGCGGCCTTCTTGAAGGGAGAACATGTTTCCCAACCCAAAACAAGCACCCTAAATCTGGAACTTTCCTTCTCACTTCTCTGCAACCCCATTTTTCCGTCCGACAGCAGCACTCTTGCTCCTTTGTTTGAAGAAACAAGCATGAATCGCACCAGCCCAACTATCATGCCGCATCAATGTCAGTTCCACATTTCTTGTGGAGCTTCGTGCTCCAACTGGTGCGTGAGACGGAGACGTCAGCGTGAACACAGGGGCACTTGCTTGCCAGACACCAAATTCAGCAGATTGCCCCACACGCACGCACGCACGCACGCACACGCGCTGCATCCTGTTGTCACCAAGTAGCTGTTGGCGACAAGACGAAGGGACCAAGCCGAAACGGGAGACTCCGGTGAGGGATTGCCGCCAAACAGGGGACAACTCCCAAAAACGGGTGGCTTTGTAGGGTTTCACTTTGCATCAACCTCCGTCCACCCACACGGCCAAAGCAGTACCCCCCACAAAAAAATCGCGCAGGTCTGCAAGCGCCCGGCGTCGGCATCGGGCCCGTGCAGAGGGCAAAGAAAGGCCACCTGCCTGGCTAGCGGCAGCCGCCCGAAGCTCAAACTTTTGTATGAACAAAACGGCAAAACCTTTTCGCGGCCTCGATGTTTTGAGGAACACCTTTTCGTGGCCTCGATGTTTTGAGGGATTAGGCTTTTTAAGAAGGGAACAACAGCACCACTTGGCAAGCTAAGATTTTGGTACCTCAACTAAATATGGGCCAAAAGGCGGCACAAAGAAGAACAAAGGTCAAAAGGTCGGCTTGGGTGGGCTCCAAACTGGCCAGCTTCCGCCATGAACAAATGAACGGGAGCAAAAGTCAAAGGTTCCAAGCACAGGGTCTGTAAGTTCAGTCTGCAATAGTGGACTCATGGTTGATCTGCGCTTGGCACCATGCTTTCACCACCCGTGGACTTGCACAGTCGGCAAAGGGCGTGGCCCTGTTGTGAGGCCTGGCTCATGGGCGCCCAACTGACAACCTTTCTATAGTCAATTTTTTCTGCATAGAGCAGGCTCCCGCTTTCGATCCATGGAGCTCATCGACCCCGCAACGGGCTGCCGCAGCTTTTTGGCCGTCCTCCAATCAGAGCCTCAGAGACCTCATTTTAGCTGCACCCGAAACCCATTGGCTTTCAATCGTACCACAACGAACCCAAACTGGTCATGACAGGTTGAACAGCGTGATACCAATCCCATGAACTCGATAGTAGGAGGCCCTCCAAGACCTTCTACCGTCTGCAATGGGGTTTCGGCGCTGCTCATTTGCGTAGGGCCACACGGGAAGCCCCATCCCAAGAATCACATCTGAGGGCTCACAGCAGGCCGCGGCGCAGATGGATTCGACGCTCCCGCCTGGACCCGTTGCATGCTTCAGAGCCACCCGAGCCAAAGGAGGCACTGGGACTGGACTCGCGCATTCTTGATTGCAGAATGTGTGATGACCCTCACGCCACTATCCTCCCGGAAAGGCTACTTCTAGCTTCATCTCCCCACCCAAAGGGCATGGGAAAAGTTGGTTGTCCGCCCCTTCCTTGCAAACCAACTGCAGGCTAGTAGTTATGGGCCTGCAATGGGACCTATGACCAGCCCTCCAACCCCAGGGACAATGGCACCAGGCCTCCAACTTGCGCAGCAGCAAATCGGCCTCCAGCACCTCGTGCGCCAAGTCCACCCCCTCCGTCTCCTGCGCCTCAGCGATGAGCGCCCGGCCCCGGCGCAGCCACCGCGCCGCTAAGTCTGCCTCTCAGGGAGGCAGATGGAAGGCAAAGCCAAAATCGACCTGAAGAACAGCACATGCATGGAAATGATGAACGTAGCATTGCAACACGTACTGTGACGCGCATCAACAGCTCCTTCAGAAGGAGCACTGCTCCGCGGCCAGTCCTACAATGTTCGACACGCCGGGCCTCGGAGATTCCTTCGGTTTCAGTCGCCCGCGCCAGCAGCTTGCCGGCGCGGGCCATGACGAGACCCGCATTGCCGTCGCTGTCCTGACCGCGGCCTGGGCTGGTAATTAGCATGGATGGCACACCGCGGGTGCATGAGGAGGAGGAAGAGGAGGAGACATCCCCCAGCAAAAGGCACGAAGCGCCTGAAGACAACCCTAAACTGGTCAGGTGCGCAGCGATTCCCACTTACACGCGGTTCATGATGGGCCCAAACATGTTGTCCCAAAGTTGGCCGGGGAGGGGGCCGGGCCAAGTTATTGCCTGGCCACTCCCCAAGTTCTGCAAGCCATCTTCGATGAGAGGCCGAAAATCCAGAAGCCTCACAGTGGGGCACTGCTCGTGGATAGCCAGCGCCATCTCGAGACATTCGAATAGCCTGGGCTCTCTTTCGGAAAAGCAAGTGAGGATGCTCGTGATCAAAAGCAGAGTATTTGCGGATTACCGATGGCAGTTGAGTGGCACAAACGGGAATGCATGTGGGCTGACCTGCGGTAGCTCACAGTCAATGTTGACTGTTCACGGAGCTTTCCGAACACAACAGGTACTCTTCACCGACTGCAAACATTCCAACGCCCAATTGTGCGAGGGTTGCCAGCCAAATTCAGTATATGTCAGTATTATTGTACATTGCAAGCGAGCAAGCAGCAAGCGACAACGGGCAGCTGGCACCTGGTTTCTGGTTTGTGGGTGGTAACGGCCAAAACAAGCCTACTAATCGCACAACTGCTATGCAAGCAAGAGCTGCTGTTGCATTGCCAAAACGCTGCGAGTGAGCAAACATGCTTTGCCTGCACTGTGCGGCACTTTCCTGCAATAGCAAGGGAACCCAGCTGCTCACGCGACTTATCCATCAAGGCACCCCATGCCAGAAACTGATGGTTTGTGGTTTGCAAGGCCTTCTTCCCTCTCCCACGTCGTAATGCCTTGACCTGCCGCAAGCTTCCTATCCGACCGCTGGCCAAGTGGCGGTGTGGGATGCACTGAGTCGCAGCGAGCGTGTACTTCGAAGGCTTCCAGCAAGGCCTCGACTCAGAGTCGACTCGCCCCGATCCAAAGACACTCGCATCACTGGGGCAATATGGGGCAATGGCAAGACACTCGCCCGTCTGGGGAAAGACACCTGCCAGACCCACGCCGCGCCCCGCTCGCCTGGAAGGCCTCACTGAAGCGCCGCTCGTTTTGCAGGGCCTTGGCCAAGCCCTCCGCAGCACCGCAGAAGAGGGGGGACCGCCGGCCCACCGTGGCCACATAGAGGTCGTAGGCCTACCCCGTCGCCCTTGCTTTGGGCGGGAACTGGAAAAAATGAAATTTTCTGGGCCAACAACTTATCGCAACCTTCACCCCAAACTCAACCAGCCCTGAACCAACTGAAGCCCGCCTCAGCCACCCTAAACCAGCCCGTGCCCGGAAACAAACCCACACATCTACGTTCAACAAATCCCAAACGCTCTTCAGTGCTAGGCTAACTCCAACCCACGCATGAGGCGCCCCTGAACCACCGGCCTGGATAGATTCTAAACTTACACCTGCACAACAGAACACGCACACAGGAGCCGGGGTGGGGTACTACCTGCAAAAAGACTCCTCGGGCGCTCTGTACCCAAAGATCTCGCCAAGCTCGGAATGGAGAAGCACAAGCAAAATTGGTTAAAGCTCCTGGTTGTGCTGTTCCCTGCTGGCCTGACCCTGTCGCCAGGTACAGAACATGCATGAACCACAGCCCGCACGTTTGAGCCCGCTGAGTTGCCATCCCTTTCATCAATCTTCCTTTTACAAACTATGGTGTCGCAGTGGCTTCGACGAGTTCTGCAAGAGCAGGTTACAAGTACAAACAGGTTGAGGCTGGACCAGCTGCGGGAGCGGCCCCACCCCTCCTCACCGGGAATTTCCCCTTGCGTTGATCCGTCGGTCCGTCCTGCTGGTATTGCTCCACGGCTTCGGCGAAGCGGGCCATCTCGTGCAAGCAGCCGCCCAGGGAGCTATGCCTGGGCGCCAGCACTCCCACTACGTGACCAACTGGCATTGAAGCTTGGGAATGTATGGCTCGAGCTGCTTGCTTTTAAGCAGGGCCCAACACTGCCAGGTTACCATTGGTGGCTGGAGCTAGTGAGGCAAGCCAAACTTGCATGGGTGTTCCTGCAGTTGTTCGGCGTCGCACTCTTTCAGAATGGTCCGTTCCACAGCCGCAGCCAAACGAACACACAAACACGCAAACACATGAGCGAGCCAGCAAGCAAGTAAGCTTAAATGCACAAGTAAGGCGCAAACAAACGGAGAGAGAAACAAACAAGCGGACATACACGCACAGAGGGACAGAAAAGACAGAGAGGCAGAGAGACAGAGACAAACGGAAGCAAACAGAGACAGGCAGACAAATAGACAGAGAGCAAGGAAGCAAACAAACAGCAAACAAACAGAAAAAAACACGAAAAAACATCAAACAAATAAACAAACAACAAGCAACCAAAAATACACTCTCACACACACACACACAACAAACCATACCACAACACACCACACACAAGACGAGACAAAACACAAAACAACAAACATGGCAAACTGGCAAACTGGCAAACAAACAAACAAACGAACAAACAAGCAAGCAAGCAAACAAGGCAAACAAAGCAAACAAAGCAAACAAAGCAAACAAACAAAGCAAACAACACAAAACAAACAAAACCAAACAAAACCAAACCAAGCCAAGCCAACAAACGAACAAACAACGAAATAAACAAACAAGCAACACGCAACGAAGCAAAACACTCTTACACACACACACCCAAAACAAAAACAAACCATACCACAACACAACACACCACGCACAAGACAAGACAAGACAAGACAAGACAAAACACCACCGCACAATAATGATGCACCTTAGAATGAAGAAACATCCATCAATCAAATATAGGCCGTGATGTGTAAGTTTACAGCGTGATCCGCAAGGTCTGCCACCTGCGCTCCAAAGCAACATGTATGTTAATGTATAATGGAAGCCAACTTGCTGCAGCCTATCAACCTGTAAAGGATTGCAGACAAAACAACCTTCCTCATGTGCTCCCCCGAATGCTGGTTAACATCTAGCTCATTATTTACACGCCTTTTTGTTTAAATGTATTCAAAAACACGCAAACAAAACACTTGGCCTCGATGGGATTGGTAGACATGGACATTAACCAGCCAGGTCGCAGCTTGGCGATGGTCACTGGGTGGTGGGGCTCATGCTCCTGGAACTCCGCGAGCGCCTGCTGAAGCATGGGCAAAGCTTCCGAGTAGAGGCCCATGTTCTTCTTGCCTCAGCCGTGGAAAAAAACGTCCCGGTTTGGTTGGTTGGTGGGCGCAAGGGGGGTTGAACTTCAGCTCGGGGCCAATGACCTAATCTTTAAACCCTCAATCAAACACAAGGGGAAGCTGAGCCAAGTCAGTAAGCCCGCAAGAAAGGCATCGCCTGCCCATCTTGGTGCAAACGGGTTCAAAGTCGTGGCTGGCTTCGGCGCAAGTGTTGCGGGGGCAAGCGTCTGCGACCAACCGTGAGTCTAATGGCTGAACGCTTCCGCTCACAAAACAGAAACGTACCTGCCAAGT